CAGGAAGGTAAACGGCGTTTCCGTGCGCTGCTCTGGTTTGCCAGAAGCGGCTTAGTCATGCTGGCCACATGACCCAGAAGCTGTACGCCAGCTCCCTCGGCCAATAAAGCGAGATGAGTGCCACAACCCCAGAGTCGGCCACGACTGGATCTAATGGTCAGGGGTCCCTTTTTTACTGTATACCAACCCGTGAAAGGCTGTTGCCATTAACTTTTGCCCAGTATGTGAAAATGTCTAGACATAATATTTATTTGTATTTATTTATTTCCTGTGAAAGAGAGCAGAGTGGACCATTGCACGTTATTCCCGGTGGCTTGATGACCATCCATCTGAGAAGGACAGACTCATTTTGATACGGTAAAACACTCTTTTTTTTTTCAATTAAGTTTCGAAATACTGCAGTATTGCAACTTGGAAACTTTTCTCTTTCTTCCCCGCTGTTGACCGTTTGTACATCCTGCTGTCCCTGTCCAACCATGTGTGGAAGTGCTTTGGTGTATTCTAAGCAACAACTTCTATTAGGGCTTCTTCAAGACATTTATAGCTGTATTGGTTTCAGGGATTAACTCCAGACCAGCAAGGTAGTCTTTTATTAGACCTTCTTTGGTGCAGAAGCAGGCCAGATTTCAAATTACACAGAATTCTCTTTAGGGGGCCACTCTTATTTCCTACTGCAGGAGAAATTCATCTAATAAAGATGTCATCTTACTTATTTTATAGCTGTTTGGGGATTCAACTACTTGTATCCCTGTGCAGAACTGGCTCTTATGATATGTTTTGAATGATACAGTGCCTCCTGGGCTGTAATCCTGAGAATTGCAGCAGAAACTCTACTTAAATCAGCAGGACTGCTTTCCAAGTTAAGTATGTTTGGGATCAAGTTCTTTGTTTCGCTAGAGTGTTTAGAAAACTAAAAAGGGAAGAGAAGGAGCTTGGTGAGCGAGGTATACGGAACAAAATTAAAGCACTCTTGAAATGGCTTTATATATTAATTTAAAGACTGCAACACACACACACATCTCTGAATAGGTATAGATGCACATGCACACACAATTAAACAAATGAAAGAAACTATATAGGCAGTGCTGTGATTCCAAGCAGTAGTTTTTGCTGGAGCTTGTTTTACTTAAGGTAGCAGCTAAAATTAAGAATAAGGGCAGTGATGACTCCTCCTGAATCATACTTGAATGCTGATTTCACAGGATGCAAACACTTAGGAAAAAGAGTACAGTGGTACCTCGAGTTACAAACGCCTCAGGTTATAAACTCCGCTAACCTGGAAGAGTTACCTCGAGTTGAGAACTTTGCCCCAGGATGAGAACGGAAATCGTGTGCCGGCAGCGCAGCGGCAGCAAGAGGCCCCACTAGCAAAAGCACGCCTCTAGTTAAGAACAGTTTCAGGTCAAGAATGGACCTCCGGAACGAAGTACCAAAATTTTTGCTCCATAAGACTCACCTGACCATAAGACGCACCTAGTTTTTAGAGGAGGAAAACAAGAAAAAAAATATTCTGCGCAGAGCCATGGCTCCCGTCCGTCCCTCCTCCCGCCTCGCTGTAAGGCCAGCAAATCAAGAGCCGTTGACACAGCGAGAGCTGCGCAGAGTGTGTCAGCGGCCCTTGCTCTGCTTTCTTCACAGCGAGTGACAGATGGGAGCCATGGCTCTGGCTACAGAGGCATCCCTCAATTCACGACTGTAGCAGCAGCCGAGGGATCCCTCTGCAGTCCAGTGCATTCGCTCCATAAGACGCACAGACATTTCCCCTTACTTTTTAGGACGAGAAAGGTGCGTCTTATGGAGCAAAAAATACAGTAAGTTCGTAACTAGAGGTACCACTGTATACGTAGGAAATATTAATATTCTTATTCAAGCCACTGGCAGAGGTTCAAAATCATTTCCAAGTACCTATCCGGGGCAGGGATTACAACAGTGTTTGTCTGACACGTTTTGTTACATTCCCAAGTGCCCAAGAAGCTTTGCTGTTATTCCTGCGTGCCCAAGTAGGATATGCATTTTCCGTTTTCTTGTGGCGATTGTGCCATCTAGTTAGCTGTGTTCTACTAAACAGGACCACCAGCTAGCAAACTCTTCAGATGAGCTAAACAGTTACTTGGTAGAAACAGAGAGGAACAAGTAGTGGAATGCTGACCATTTTTGAATGTTTGTGGTTCTCCATTTAGTTGCTGTTGGTCAAAGAAAGGGAGCGTGGAAAGCAGTGTGGACCACAAGCTGCCCCTTGAGACTATGCTAAACCTTACATACAGGTGGCATCTCACTCCAATGAGCTCTGCCACTGCTTTGTTGGAGGGGATGTTGGGAAGGAAACTCTCTGTGAGAATGTTCAGGGGTGAGGGAGTTTTGGCATGCCAGCTTTATGGTTTTAGTGATTGTGGTTGCAGAAAAAGTTAATATAGATTCAGGCCTCACCTTGTTCGTGTGTCAGAAATAAGCCTTTACACCATTCCTTCTCGTAGCTGCCTACATGGTAAAAACATGCTATTGGAAATGTGAGGAGGAGCTTGTCCTAAAGAGATGTTATGTCAGTCTGGCAGCCTTGGCTGCGTTACACAGCAATGCAGACTAGCTAAGGGAGACATTAAATTCCAACCTAAGGAAACCTAGATTGGCCGTCCCTGAGATACCATTTTGGAAGTATTGGTTGGTCTAACTCATGAGTCAGCAAATTAAGGCCCGTGGGCTGGATCAGGCCCAATTGCCCTCTGGATCCGGCACATGGACGGTCCTGGAATCGCCGCTTGGGTCAGCATGATTGTTCGGGCTGCGCCATTTTTTTTGCAATTTTTTTCAGGCACCATCCCTCCCCCCCCCACACACGTGGCGGTGCCTCCTCCCTCCCTCCTCCTGGCTTTTCCCCACCCTGCGGAGGGAGCTGGGCTTTGATTGGTGCCAGCCAATCCGAAGCCTTGTCACCTGTGCGCTGAGGCACGGCTCAGACTTGCCACCCGCCTGCCAGCCTCTCCGTCCATGGCCTCGCTGTGGGCATCGTGACGGGCGCTGGCCCCATGCCTGGTGCCCAGGAAAGCTGGCCCGGAAAGGAGAGGTGTTGCCACCACCGCCGGCTCCCAACCGCAGAGTGGCGGAGGAGGTAGGAAAACGGGATGGGGCGGGGCTGCAGAAAGAGGGGGAAAGAAGCCCCCCTCTGCCGCGTGCATGTAGTCTAGCCTGTCACAAGGTCTGAGGGGCGGTGAACCTGCCCCCTTCTAAAACAGTTTGCTGACCCCTGGTCTAACTAAACATGCTTTAATGATGACTTTTCCTAGACTGTTTGCCTATACATGAACCTACTTGGTATATTGTGCATTACAGGATTGGCAGATAGCAAAAGCGGACTAAAATATCTTTAGCTCATAAAATGATTATTTTCTTGCTAGTTTGCTATTATGATTTGTCTTGAGTAGGCTCCAATGCTGTTTGAAATGACTTCTCTTAAGTACTGCACTTTCTGACTTGTGCACAATCGTTTTTGTAATGATTTGGATTAAAAGAACAGGGGCTCATACTAGTGTGTTATTCTGTTAAACTGCTTGCTTAAACAGTTGCCACAACTGCCTCCTATCTCCTTTGGATTTCTTGCTTTTCTTTTCATTATCTTTTTTAGTCCACAAAATTGGTTGATTACTTCTTCACTATAGCAGCAGAGATCAGAATGTTAGAGAGTCGTCTATGGACAATTTTGTACTGGGAGCACAAGTGCCTCTATTTATGCTGTGTAATATCTGCAACTGTATGCTGTCAGTGTAGGGAAGGCACAGCATTACCCACTTCAGACAACCCTTATGCAGCCCTTCCTCACAAGCCCGTAGTTCTTGTAACATTGCTGTAATCCATTTCAGTTGCAAAACCTACGGTGGTCATAGGTTCAGTCCCTTCATTAGTGGCATCCTGGTGTTTACAGACCAAATTGTGTTCAAGCTGCATTTCCAAGTGAGCTGATCCAGTTCAAACGTTCTGCCATAATAATATGGTTGAGAATATAATTATCTTTTAGGTTTTGCATCTTTCTGAATTTTTCTATACAGTTTTGCATGATAAAAGAAGTTTATAAATCCATGTATTGAGAAAAAATACTGTCTTTAAATGTGTTTTGTAATCAAGTTTTTTAAATACAAATTTTCCTAGAGAGTCATTTCTTTCAGAAATCACAGCGTAATGTGGAAATGGGCTGGAATGGACTTGCAAAATAACATGTGCAAAATTAAAAGTGTGATCCATATAGTTTGTTGTTAGAGGCTCACATAACAAACACTTCCGATTCTAATGAGTATGTTTTTTCCCTTTAAACAGAGGTGCACTGGAAGCTTATGTTCAGTCAGTAAGAAGTAGAGAAGGAAAGGAATTTGCTCCAGTCTATCCCATAATGGTACAACTGCTACAGAAGGCACTGTCTACTCTTCAGTAAAATGTTCTTTGGAAGGTATGGAAACTCCTCTGACATATTTAATTTGTACTGGTAGGGTAATACATAGAATTAATATAAACAGCACCTGACTTTTGCAAAACCTACCAAGAACTATAAGACATCAATACTTAAATGTCTGAAAATCAAATGCACTATGCAGTCTTCAGCTTTCCATATATAATAATAAAACTTTTAAATGCTGTTCTAATGTCACTTTTTAATTTAGAAACCAAAGCATTTTGTATCACAAAAAGGCTCTTTTCCCTGGAGACACTGAAACAAGATTTTCATGTAAAGAGCTTCTAAGCTGAACACAAGAAAAACCTTTTGTGTATACAATACACATTTACTTCTTGGCAACAATCCTTGAGGTTTAAAGTCGAATTTTTCATAATTCTTTATTCCATGTACATTGAAGTAACAATGTTTTTATGTTAAACTCATGCTATATTCTGAGTGGAAATCTACTTAATTAAAAATCCTATGCATTCTTGCTTTAAGTGCTCCTCCTATGTAGCAATCCTATAGATGGGTAATGACATTTAATCACAACTCATTTGATGTACATAATACTAGACAATACATTTTACAAATTTATTTGAAATACATGAATATAGTGTGCAAAATCATAGGAGCAACATCATAGACATGTCAGGTGCTGAAATTTATTGTTGTGATTCTTAAACAGAAACACACTCTTTCTTTAGTAACATTAAAAGCTATGTTGTAATGTTCACAGCAAAAGTAGCCATAAATCTAACATATTTCCTCTACTTTTAGATAGATGGAGGGGAAACAGTAAAGTGCAAATGTTGCACCTACAGTAAGTGCAAAGTTTGTCCCCACCATAAAAGATGTCTTATGTCAAAATAAAATCTTTAAAATATGCAGCATAGGAACACCCGTCTCCCCCCCCCCCGGCAAAAAAAACCCCTTTAAGAATAAAATGGTGACACCACAAGAAGAAGCACCATTCTTTTGGGATAATGCAAGTAATCCCTGGGCCTTTATCAAGAGCCCTGGCAATTCTGCAATCCTTTTTATTCTTGCTGGGAAGAGATCACACCTCAAATAATTTATAAATGTGTTATCTTCCCAAAAAGATAACAATTTTGCTACATATAGTATATACATTTCCTATCCACTTAGCCACACATTCTGGTAACTTGTTGGCACTGGGCAAACGAGAAGTTCATATATTATGTCAGAAAATCCCAGCTCCCAGATTTGTAGTTAATTACATAGTTTGTGCAATACATATTAATCAGCAATAAGAATCAATGTATAAACAGGTTACATATTTAAAATTCCCCTTTTTTGCATTTTTTCTTAAAAATAAACATTTATACAAAGCTCCTCTTCCTACTATTCTTTAGCACCACAGGATATCCATTTTCAAGCCTATTACACCTGATAGACATATATGTAGTTTGGAAGAAAAATAAGGCAATTTGGTTTTTAAATGCTGATAGTTTTTAGCTTTCTTAATGCTCTACTGTAATAAGCAAATTCTCATTCCTAACAACTCAATGCTGCCAGTATTTTATGGTCGCACCTTCACAACAAATCATGAATTCTTGATCATCAAGTCTTCTTCCACTATGTATTTGTAGAAGAATTCCGATCTAATGTTATTGTGAACCCTGTAAAAATGAGAACCAGAAATTAAGATGAATGCGTTGAGTGTGAGACTCAGTTTGCACATATATTACCTGCTTCAGCACAACCACACACAAAAACCCCCAATGGCAACCCTGTTGGAAGAACTTTCAGGTCATCTTGTGCCAATATATTTAATCCAAAAGCATTGCATTGGATCCAGGTTCCTTTCCTACAACAGAAATATTTGGTCTAAAAGGGAACCTAAGGATCCAACTCATAATAAATACTTTCTACAACTGGTTTTCCTTAAAGCACCTATCGCAAAATGAGTGTTACTTTATTCCTTTCCCCCATTGTAAGGTGGTTTCAAAACCTGCCCAGAATGTAAAAGGCAGAGCCTTTCTATAGTCCTGTGTAGACTTTAGCTAGTTTATGGCTTCACCTATTGTTTGCGGCTTCACCTATTGGTTAGAAATAATTTTCTCTTTGTTGGCTCTGGCTTCTATGGCTTGAGGCAGTGCTGGCATCAATTTACAGTGGTGCCCCGCAAGACGAATCCCTCGCAAGACGGAAAACCCGCTAGACGAAAGGGTTTTCCGTTTCGGAGGTGCTTCGCAAAACGAATTTCCTATGGGCTTGCTTCGCAAGACGAAAATGTCTTGCGAGTTCCTGCAGGTTTTTTTTCCTTCCCCCCCCCTTTTTCCTAAGCCGCTTATCAGCTGATCCGCTAAGCCGCTTAACAGCTGATCCGCTAAGCCGCTTAACAGCTGATCGCTAAGCCGTTAAGCCGCTAATGGGCTTGCTTCGCAAGACGAAAAAACCACAAGACGAAGAGACTCGCGGAATGGATTCTTTTCGTCTTGCGAGGCACCACTGTAATAAATTGATGGGGGGGAGTGGGGATGACGGGTGCACTGCCATAAGGCTGAGTACTTGGTCAGTGCCAAAATATTGCTCTTTCAACAGAGCAATATATGGTATATGGCCAGGGAAAGCAGGACTTTTTGAATGATGATGATACACAGATTAGTTTTCTTAGACATTTGCTATAAGCAACTCTATGAGATTCTTGCCCCTACCTTTAGATGTTAACATCTACATGGGGAAATGCAAAAAAAGAGAGACTTTTTTACCCCACCTTTTGTGCATTATCATACAGTATCATGAAAAGGGTAACTTTGAACATGGACAAATGAATTCCCTATGAAAGGAAAAGCCTGCTGGTAACATGGGGTTACATTTCAAATTTCACAGAGAATGTAGGGACGGGTGCCCCGCAGGTCTGAAGTATTCTACGTGAATTCCCAAGCACCAAGATGTGCGCTAAAATGTCAAAGTAGAGGAAAAACATACTGAATTTGTTCGTTTCCGTTTCCAGCAGTCGGGATTTAAACGTTTTTGTTCTTCAGCCAAGGCCTTGGCTTCTAATGTGTACATCCGCCTTTCTTCATTTTTCATTTTTTTCCACCTGTCACCAAGTATCACACTTATGGCTCTGCAGGAGAAATATTTAGGAAATAGTCAATGCAAGAATCCAGCAACACATGTAACATTTTCTAGTATCCATTTCCTTTCTGAGGATAGCACAGGATAAAAATTATATACAAGAAAACACTCAAGTGTTCAGAGATAATGTCCTTGTTCAAGCTAGGTGCAATTGTTTATTATCCTGTGACACTGAATTAACTGAAAGGCAGGAAGTCCTACATGATTTTGAAGATATCTGTAAGTAATTTGTCAAATTTGGAAAACTATTTTTCTGTAAGCATGGATGATGGTAGAGCAAAGCATTCAGCTCATTACAGGGCCTTAATATTCAAGACTTCTACATATGTAATTACCGTATTTTTCGCCCTATAGGACGCACTTTTTCCCCTCCAAAAATGAAGGGGAAATGTGTGTGTGTCCTATGGGGCGAATGCAGGCTTTCGCTGAAGCCTGGAGAGCGAGAGGGGTCGGTGCGCACCGACCCCTCTCGCTCTCCAGGCTTCAGGAGAGCCGCAGCGCCAGCCCCACAAGGTCGGGGGACAGCGGGGAGGCGGAACACCGCCATCCCGCTGTCTCCCGATGTGGTTTGGAGGCTGACGGCGGGGAGACGCGTGCTTCTCCCCGCCGCCAGCCCCGCAAGCTCCGGGGACAGCGGGGAGGCGCAGCGCGTCTTCCCGCTGTCCCTGGACCTGGTCTGCAGGCGGGCGGCGGGGAGAAGAGCGCTTCTCCCCGCTGCCTGCCCCACAAGTGCCTGGGGAGGAAATATTTTTTTTTTCTTTATTTCCCCCCAAAAAACTTGGTGCGTCCTATGGGCCGATGTGTCCTATGGGGCGAAAAATACGGTAATACAGTGGTACCCCGCAAGACGAATGCCTCGCTAAACGAAAAACCCGCAAGACGAAAGGGTTTTCCGATTTTTAGAGGCTTTGCAAGACGAATTTCCCTATGGGCTTGCTTCGCAAGACGAAAGCCCATAGGGAAATCTCCTGGGACAGCGGGGAAACGCAGCGCACCTTCTCCTCTGTTCCCAGACCTGTCCTGAAGGCTTGTGGTGGGAGGTCCGGGAACAGAGTAGAAGGCGCGCAGCGCTTCTCCTCTGTTCCCGGGGCTTGCGGTGGGAGGAGGGTTTTTCCTCCCCACCGCCAACATTCAGAACAGCATTCTGAATGTTGGCGGTGGGGAGGAAAGCCCTCCTCCCACCGCAAGCCTTCAGGACAGGTCGGGGAACAGAGGGGAAGGCGCGCAGCGCTTCTCCTCTGTTCCCGGACCTGTTTTGAAGACTTGCGGTGGGAGGAAGGTTTTCCTCCCCACCGCCAACATTCAGAAGGCTGTTCTGAAGGCTGGCGGTGGGAAGAAAAGCCCTTCTCCCCCGCCAGCCTTCAGAAGAGTTCCCGGAGGGCTGCCTAGGCTGCGGATAGCAGCATGCTGCCCCACGCAAGGGGCGCTCTTAAGCAGAGCGCCCTTCGCGCGGGGCAGACATTTGCAGCTTGGGGAGCCCTGCAGGACTTCCCCGCAGGGCTCTCCAAGCTGCAGATAGCAGCCTGCTGCCCCTATCCGCAGCTTGCGGATAGCAGCCTGCTACCCCTATCAGCAGCTTGCAGAGCACTGCGGGGAAGTCCTGCAGGGCTCCCCAAGCTGTGAATGTGTGCCCCGCGTGAGGGGCGCTCTGCTAAAGAGCGCCCCTCGTGCGGGGCAGCAGGCTGCTATCCGCAGCTTGGAGAGCCCTGCGGGGAACTCCTGCAGGGCTCCCCAAGCTGCAGATGTCTGCCTCGCACCGGGCAGCAGGCTGCTATCCGCAGCCTAGGCAGCCCTGCGGGAACTCTTCTGAAGGCTGGCGGCGGGAGAAGGGCTTTTCTTCCCACCGCCAGCCTTCAGAAGGCTGTTCTGAAGGCTGGCGGTGGGGAGAAAAGTCCTTCTCCCCCCGCCAGCCTTCAGAAGAGGTCTGGGGACAGACTGTCCCTGGACCTGGTCTGAAGGCGGTCTCCATAGGAACGCATTAATTGATTTTCAATGCATTCCTATGGGAAACCGTGCTTCGCAAGACGAAAAACTCGCTAGAAGAAAAAACTTGTGGAACGAATTAATTTCGTCTTGCGAGGCACCACTGTACCCATTATGCTTGCATCTCCTTATTGCTGAATACAAATACATTTCAATTACAGTGGTGCCCCGCAAGACGAACGCCGCAAGACGGAAAACCCGCTAGACGAAAGGGTTTTCCATTTTGGAGGCGCTTCGCAAAACAAATTTCCCTATGGGCTTCCTTCGCAAGACGAAAGCCCATAGGGAAATCTCCGGGACAGCGGGGAAGCGCAGCACGTCTTCCCCACTGTCCTCGGACCTCCTCCGAAGGCTGGTGGCGGGGCGGAGAGACCTTCTCCCTGCGCCAGCCTTCGGATGGCTGTCCTGAAGACTTGCGGTGGGAGGAGGGTTTTCCTTCCCACCGCCAACATTCAGAATGCTGTTCTGAATGTTGGCGGTGGGGAGGAAAAACCCTCCTCCCACCGCAAGCCCCGGGAACAGAGGAGAAGCGCTGCGCGCCTTCCCCTCTGTTCCCATACCTGTCCTGAAGGCTTGCGGTGGGGAGAAAAGCCCTTCTCCGCACCGCCAGCCTGGCAAGCGGTCTCCATAGGAACGCATTAATTGATTTTCAATGCATTCCTATGGGAAACCGTGCTTCGCAAGACGAAAAACTCGCAAGAAGAAAAAAACTTGCGGAACGAATTAATTTCGTCTTGCAAGGCACCACTGTAGACATCTATTACCATAATTCACACAATAAAGTGTTTTATATTTATCCCACTTATCCTGACAACTAATCTTAAAAAAATGGATGAAGTCAGTATGTGTCTGCAAGTTCACATTGGGCCAGTCCAAAGTTGCAGAGTTTGGAAGAGTATGTATGTACTTTGCTTTAGGCATATAAAGATGTGTCCAAAACATACTGCTTGTGGCTACTTTAATAACAGTATATAAGAAACCACTGATAAATAAATTCAACATTAATACATCCACCGGTTTGTTGTGTATCTTGCTATAGTTCTCCTTTGCTGCTATTCAGCAGTGCATACTCCCAGATAAGTGTCTGTAGGATTGCAGCCTAGAATACATAACATTTCTGCCATGCATGACAATAAATATAAATGCCTAGCATTTATATCAGGCATAGGCAATCTTGGCCCTCCAGATGTCTTGGGACTACAACTCCCATCATCCCTGACCACTGGTCCTGTTAGCTAGGGATGGTGGGAGTTGTAGTCCCAAAACATCTGGAGGGCAGAGTTTGCCTATGCATGATATAAATCATGTGTTCCTCAATTTAAAACGGGAATGGCTAACCTACGGCCCTCCAGTACTGCTGGACCACAACTCCCACCATCCTCAATTGTTGGCCATGCTGACTGGCTGATGGGAGTTAGTGTCCCAACAACAGCTGGATGACCAGAGGTTAGCCATCCATTCATTGAAGAAAAGAAAGGGAAGAAGAGGTTTATCAACCACATCTTTAAACACTCCCCATAATCATGGAAGTATGTAGTTAGCCAGGAATAGACACTAATAAGCCAAGCAACCATGTAGTTTTTGCTAATTATGCCACATGTCATAATTTTGTTCCTGCCTGCTTCCCATTCCATCCACCAAAATGTCGATAGCACTGTTTTGTCAATGGCAGCATGCCCTGAGTCAGACATGATGTCCCTTAATGATGAGTGCTTCTTACTCTCTGCTCTTTTAGAGGAAACTTCTTTGTTTGTTAATCCAGAGTTTCCAATGAGATGCAAACTGGGAAACTGTGTTTTAAGCACTTCTACAAACCCACTGCTTGACCCTTGGTTGTACAAAGAACATTTCAAAAGCAATTTAGAAGGACCCCAATGAAAATAATATTTCATTTATCAGGCCAGCAACCCACATCTGAACTCTCTGCACTTAAAATGTAAATCACAATCAGAAGCATACACATTCTTACCTGTTATCTTTCCCTGGATACATCTGAGTATATTCTACTCTGTACTTTTTGGCAAAAAGCATGAAGGCATTCATTGGTCTTTTGCATTTGTTGGGAGAAGTGGCATTCACAGTACTTGCAGTCCCTGAGCTGTGGCTTTTGCTGGCTTTACTATACAAAGAATTGGGTGAAATCTGTGATGACTGAGCAGGTCCACAGTTTGTACTGCATTCGGATCTTTCAAAGTCTTGGCTTCCTGATCCTCCACAAGATAAAGAAGCACGGCGTTGGCGAGCCATACTACTTAGCACATAAACCGCAGAGGAATCCATCGGTGTAAAATCATAACTGAAAGGGAGAAATCCGTTTAAAAAATAAGTTGCAGGTTTTATTTTTCAAGTCTAGATTTACTCTCAAATAGTGATGTGAGGTGAGAATATTCTCCGGAGAATAATCTCGAGAATGAGACTATTCTCCCCAAACTGTAAATTCTAATGTAAGAACCAGTTTTACAGCCCACATTTTAAAAATCTAGTAAATAACTTAAAACTCCTAGAAGAAGAAAACACAGCTTCTAACAAACTCAGTTAATTTTACACAACCATCAACTTCGTTCTATGATCAGATGATCAGTGTGGAACTGAAAGCTCTGTTACCAGTGGAGATGAAGATGGTGACTTATCCTCTTAAGATATTTGAGGAGTCAATATAAATTTATAAACATTTTTTAAATAAATTTATTTCTTGTGACAATTTATCAGTTATAATTTAAATACGTTGTATGTTGCCTTACTTGTCTAAGCAGATAGCAATTTGAATTTCTGATGTTATGTCACTTGTCATTACTGATTATTTGTGTTTTATTTTCTGGAAATAATAGCATTTATTTTAAACTTTATATTGATTGTATTAGTGTTGCACTGAAAATACTGTACCATGTAAATATGCTTATTAAATAACATACTCATGTAGCGGTCCTGAAGTTTTTTATAGTCCCTTTACTTTAAAAGCTACATTTCATACATACACAACATAATTAGAATTCAAAGTTGATGGTAAATATACAGTTAGTGGCAGGCTTAGTAATTAACATGAGTCATTCATGCTGAATTTTCAATTTCAAGTTTGGTGCAAAAAAAATTAATAAAAGTATCTGTACAGTTTTTGGTTGTCATCTGAACAAGTTTACCCATGAATAAACATGTATATTAATGAATTATAACATTTTCAATACATTAAAATGATATCATTTCCAATGCATTAAAATGATATAATCTCCAATGCATTAAAATGATATCATTTTCAATGCATTAAAATGAATATTCTCCTATTTTAAATGAAAATTCTCTAATATTCACCTTAATCGAGAATATTCTCCAAAAATTTATTCTCAAGAATTTAACATCACATCTCTCAAATAACACCTAACAATGCTCCCATTTGCTGGATCTTGTCCTCCATCTCATTTAGCATATCAATTAGAGGTAAATTCATCTCTTATTCATGCCACACATTCTAACTGAAGGCTTGAAACTGGTCGTTTTCTACCCCCTAGTGGAAGAAAACTGATAATTCTATAATTTTTTATTGATACTACAGGTAAAGCTGATATACAGTCAACCATGAATAAAGAAAACAAATTGCTAAAATATAGTTCATGTGCCCAACATTTCCAAAAATAACATCCAATATTGCATTTAAACTGCATTCTAAAAGTTTTTTTAAAAAAAAACAAAACCCTGCACAATCAGTTTTATTTAAGATTGCCATCATCTGCTACTTGTTCAAGGTTTTGTAAGAAAAATAAATTCATAAAGTCTGAGAAACATCATTGACTGCTTTTTTGTGTGTGTTTAAAATTTAAACTGGAATAGAAGGAATCAACAAATTGTTAGTAACACCTAAGAAAAGCATGGAGAAATGGTTAACTTGATACATACACTATTTATCTATTAGTTATATTTATGTCTTTCTTCCACCAATCAGTGCTCAAGGTAGCAAAAAACAATTGAAATAAAATAAAATACTGTCCATTCTTAAGAGTTACCTTTTGAATGTATCAAACACACCCGAATCATCGAAATTAATGGCATCAGGGTGTCCTGGAGGTAGACATGTATCTCCAATGTGCATTTCACAACATGGAATTCCATGCTGAACCACAGTCAGGCTCGGATAAAAAGATGACCAGCCTGAATGGAAAAAAACTTTGAATTAGATAAATAGTCCAGCAACTCAGATTCTCTTTGAGTCCCAATAGCATGAAACACAATTCTATATACATCTGCTCAGAAATAAGCCCCGCTGTGTTAAATGTGGCTTCCTCCTTAGCAAATGTATTTAGAATCCAAATACAGTGGTGCCCCGCAAGACGAAAAACCCACTAGACGAAAGGGTTTTCCATTTTTGAGTTGCTTCGCAAGACGATTTTCCCTATGGGCTTGCTTCGCAAGACGAAAACGTCTTGCGAGTCTTGCGATTTTTTCCCGCTCCCCCCCCCTTTTTCTAAGCCGCTAAGCCGCTAATAGCCTTTTAGCCACTAAGCCACTAAGCCTTTAATAGCCGCTAAACCGCTAATAGCGCTAAGCCGCTAATAGGGTTGCTTCGCAAGACGAAAAAACCGCTAGACAAAGAGACTCGCGGAACGGATTATTTTCGTCTTGCGAGGCACCACTGTATCAAGAATATGAAGGCACTTTAAGCAATCAGACAAAGATCTGCCAAGGCTCTCACTAAGAGTGGAAAAGTGAGTTGGAGAATGCTCTTGCACTCCTTCATCTGTTTTGCAGTTTCTCTTCCCTTCCACGGTTTCCCTCCCATTGTGGACACTGGGATAACAATTACTAAGAGAGAGTAAGATCAATTACTGACCTGGTCTCTTATCTCTCCAGAGTTTGGGAGCATGTTGTGGGATCAGGACAGCTTTTGATCCAAGCTGTTCCCCAACCCTCCCTGACACACCTTTGAACCAGTTTCAACATGCCCAATTCTGGGCTGGGCTAGGGCATCCAGAGGTTTCTGCACCAGGGTGGGGGCGAAATCTGACATGAAATTTCTTTCTATAGTGTTGGCATCGAATTTCTTGTCTCTAATGTCAGAGAGGGAGATCCAATATATCCTATGATCCCTGGGCACTGCACCCTTAGTGTTCCCCTAGGTGTTTTACGATTAGAAATAAAACACATAAGGAACCTGCCCAAAGTGTCATGGAGTCACCACATATGTAGAGAAAGGGGAGAAAGAGGCTTTAGAATCTCAGTATTTTCTTCAGAACAGGAAAAAAATTGTTCACTTCATTTTTTAAATTGCTTATTTTAAACATATCCTACCACCAAAGGAATGGATAATCTAACAGGACTTCACCACTTTCAGCAAGGAAAATATTGCACAATTAAGAGCTTACGGCTTTCCCTCTGCTCCATATCAATATCCAAAAAGTCATGAGTATGATGTTATCTAAAGTTAGTCATGCTTAACTCCTACTGAAATCAGTGAGGCAACTGAATAATGTCTGCAAGAAAATGCAAACAGCACTGTTTTCCAGGGAACTTGAGCACAATTAAGTTTAGTAGGATCAGGGGTTATTTGGTAAAGAAAGCTCTTCCCAGAAGTTGAATGGTTTCGGTTGTTCAAATTCTATACAAGGGCAACAGTTGATTTTCAGTGTCATGGAAGATATCAAACTTTTCCAGTACCCTAGGACCTGCTGTGCCTGCACATAAAGGAGTTCAGATGGCACAAACCAAACGAACGTTACAGCGTAACATCATGGCAATCAAAATATTCACCATTGGGATGCTACATGAGTTTCATTGCAAGAGATAGCAAACGCTTTAATTTACACATAGGTATCTACCATGCTGCAACCTGCCAGAAGAGTTCCAGACCTCCTTCTCCAGCAGGTATTTGCATTTAACATAAGCCTGCTGTTCTATATTTATTTATATCCTGCCTTTTTTCCTGACAGGGACTCAAGGCAGCTAACATAAAAATAAAGAAGTGCTAGAAACTTAGAAAAAGCAGTAATTAAAAAACAATCAAACATTTACATATGAATATCTTTAAAAATCTGGTAAAACCATACAAATAATTATAATGAAAACAGTATGATACTGGCCCTTCCATTAAAAATTGACAGTTCCCAAAAGCCTGCTGGAACAAGGTTTTATTTTCCTCAGAAAAAAAGTCTCTAGTATTAGAGGTGTTCGCTAAATGTACTAACGCTGGGAGGTTGAAAGAATTGAGGAGGATGTACCGTAATTTTCGCTCCAAAACACGCACTTTTTTGCTCCTAGAAAGTAAGGGGAAATGCCTGTGCGTGTTATGGAGCGAATGCACGGATCAGAGCCATGGCTGCCGTCAGTCAAGCAAAGTGGGAGCCACTTACACGCTCTACAAGGCTCTCACTTTGCTTGTTTTAAAGCGACCTGGAGCCGGGGAGGAGGGAGGGAAGGAGAGCCATGGCAGCAAAGCCGGCAGCAGCCACTTACAGGGAGGAGGGACAGACGCTAGCAAAAGTCCATGCGCTCTCTAAACAGAGCAATGAGGCTGCAGAGGGACGGCAGGAAAGATAAAATTTAAGCAACCAGCAGCAAAATAAAACCAACCTCGAGCTCTGAGCCAGCGCAGTGAAAACCAGGAAGTAAAAAAAAAAGGCTGGGGAGGGCATGAGGGAGAGGGGAAAACTTCGCAAATCCCCACGTCTCAGCTGATCCGCTGGGAGGGAGCAGCTTGTTTTCAGGCAGGATAGATTTGAACATTGTCTGGGTCCTAGTGCCCCGACCGCTTTTTTGTGCTCCATTCTATTGCTGCTGGTGGCTGCTTATTTTACACAGCTAATGGCGAATCCCCTGCAATCCAAGTCCTCCTCACTTGCTCAAATCTATTCTGCCTCAAAACAAGGAGTGGAAGGAAAAGGCGGCAAACTGTTAAATGGAAAAAACCCAGGCACAGGGCAAATACCTTAAGTATACCTTTAAAGCAACAGTGCTCTTTCCCTCCCTCCTCCCCACTCAGCTCGCAGAAAAGCTCCTTCTCCACCCACCCCACGCGTGCTCCTTGTTCCTTGAGTTCTTTTCCTTCCCTCCCTACTTAAAACATGGTTACAAAGCACGGATCCACATGGATCCTCAGGATTTTTGCACTGGGTCACCCCAAATTCACCATCAGATCACATAGCATTTCCATGGCTATAGCCTGCACCAAAAAACACCCACGCACACACTGTTTCATGGGGCCGCAATGGCGCAAAAACGTGGTTACAAAGCATGGATCCTCAGGATTTTTGCATTGGGCTACCCCAAACTCACTGTCAGATCACATGTCTGTGGCCACAGCATGAACCATAAAAATCATACATCCACTGTTTCGTTTAGAATATTTTTTCCTTGTTTTCCTCCTCTAAAAACTACATGCGTGTTATGGTCGGGTGCGTGTTATAGAGCGAAAAATACGGTACATGGAAGTTTTAGACATTTCCTGCACAGAGACAGAAGAGACTGCAGAGATGAAGAAGAAAGTTTTTGACATGGTAATAGATTGGGTTTTTTTAAAGCAGAGGTAGAAAGACTCTGACAGTTTATGGCAATAAGAGGATGGCTGGATTACCAGAATATACTGTACAGTGATGTTCTACATGCACTACAATAGTTATAATAATTTCTTACCTTTGTTTTTAACATAGAAAGGATGATCTAGTCTACACTCTACAGTAAGCAAGCCGTCTGTCACTGTGCCAGGATCAAAAGTCAATTTTAGAACTGACTCGCCAAATGAAACACTTTCTTCATGGGATATCAACTTCAAACCATCAGAACCATATCCCTGTAGAACAGGTGAGCTTTGGTTATTCAAGGAACACGTGAGTCTACGGACATTGAAACTACTCTCATCCTAAAAGAACTAAGAGTGTGTAATTTGTTTGGCAAAAACAGTCACTTTCTCCTTCTCACAATATTTCTGGCTCAGCCACTAACATTTATTTCACTTTAGTCACTAGATTTGTTTACTACATATATGATCAGCCACAGTGGGCAAGACATGCCAGGCAGGATTTCCTTCATATGTAATCAGCCTAGTTTGCAGCAGCACTTCAAACGAGGAAACTTTCCCTTTGACACTATCGCCAAATAGTTTAGCATCAGCTGCTTGTCTTGAGCAAGCTGCCATTGTTCCTGGATATGCAGCCAAGTAGCCAACCATACCTTTCTACCCCTTCCTCACAGGCTACCCTATTAAGATGGCTGCATGTAAATGCTTTCCTTTGCTGTCTGACTCTCTTTAAAGCATGCAACGTTTAGAAATTAACTCAGGCAAACAGCTGATAAATTGCTGTGGTCATTACAAAAGAATATGAAAAGAAAAACTTACTTTGTAAGTACTCACTGAATCATCCATTTCATTTTGACAGGCTGTGGACCTAGCAAAATCTTCAGCATCCTCCCATTCCTTGTTGCGTCCTTTATGAAAGCATAAACGTGTTCCTAAAGTTTTATTAAAAAGAAAATTAGTGTCATCAAAATGGCAAACCCAATTATTAAATCCTGCCATGTAATATACGGCATTTTACCTTTAAGGAAACAATGCCAAACAGTTGGAGGCCAGGAGTGGCACCATCCTAGATCATCGTCATCTGACAGGGATGACATACAGAAAATTCCAGACTCTGATTCACTATTTGTCTGTTGAGAAAACAAAGCCACATAAAGGTATTTAAATAAATATTTCTAGGTGGACAATATGATTATTTTTCAGTTTCTTGCAAAACCAAGCTGCATGGGGTTTCTAATATTTCACTTAATCACTGCTATGCCTTTTCCCAAGTATTCTTAAATTTTACATCTTTTATATGACTCTTTGTAGCAACTACATTATGGAACAAATCTTTCACAAACCAAAGACCCAGTTCCATATTTAAGCATTCCTATGCTACTCTCCTCATTTCTGCCTGTCTGTCTGTCTCTCTGTGTCTCTCCCTCTCACACACAAAGCTCACCCCACCTTAGTGTGTCCCCCTGATGCTAGACAAAAATGACACGTGCAACATGATTAAGGCAAACAGAAAACTGCCAATACAACTGTTCTCAAAAGTAAGCGATGCTAAAAATGTATGTTTTAAATTGGCCTAAGAATCAGAATACAGTGTTCTGTATTGACAGTAGTAGAAATGAATAAGACAACATTCCATGTGTTTTGATGTTTTGTTTCACAGCTTCTCTCATGTTTTAATCTACTTGCCAAGCATAAAATAGTGAACATCATAAAGCTTGGTCTTTTGTAGTTCATTCTGTACCTCCCTTGGATTGTGAGCTCTTCAAGCTATGTACGCTACCACAAAGATTGCTCCCAACACTAAACAAGTAAAAAATCTAAATGAGCAGCTGGCAAAGTAAAGCTATTTCAATTTCTAAAAAGTTTAAATCTGGTCTTTAGCTAGTTCAATAAACAAAGCTTACCCTTTCATGTCTGACAGGTGTTTCATCAATGTGATGCTTAGGAAAACCAGAGTCACTCTGAGAGGATTCTGGTGGAGGACGTGCATAGGAATGTAAACTTTTGCTTGTAGCTATTAGATGAACAGGAGATGATCTAGGAAATAATTGTTAAATATATATATATAAGCAGATATTGCTCAAGGAAGGAAAGAAGGAAAAGCATCACAGGTACACCAAGAGTAATTTATTGACAATTCTGAGATAGTAATGTCTTAGTTGCTTCTTTGAACAGACCAAAATCAGTGGTTCCTGAAAAAATAAAAATCTTTAAATGTGTTTGGCCAATAAATTATACTCTGTAACTTCGAGGTCTTTTCTCCCTTTGCATATTTGGCAATAGAACATAATGCTGCTAACATTTCTATGATGTGCTTGGTTTCATCAACAAATACTGTGCTCAATTTTTTTACTATTTTTTACTATTATCACACCGCAGCAGTCTGCCCCAGTGTTACCAAAACACGTAGATGAAAAAGAGGTTAACACAGCAAGTAGTCCAACCAATGCTCATTGCTACAAAGAAAGGAGGGCTGGGGAATAAACTTAGTAAGTTCCTTGAAGACCTCCTTATTCCAGGCTATAGCTGGGGGACACAAGGGAGAATCAGCCCTTTAGTTACAGTGTTCTACATGGCAGGGCAGCCTAGAAGCTCCAACCTCCTGCCACCCTTTCAGCTACAGAACAGTGACTGAGGGGCCCAAAGCAACAGCGAGCGACATTTTGGTTTATTTAGATCGTAAGCAAGTAGACTGGGTGGCACACAAATAGAAGGAGCAAAAATAAATTTAAACAATAAACTGCTAAAGCAAGTAAACGTGATAATTGTCAACAGCCTACTTTAAAAACAGGGACTCTGCAATTACCATTACATTTTTGTTTCATGTTATTACATGTTTAAAACAGTTGCTATGCCTTTAGACAACCACCCATGCAAGGAGGTTCCAGTTGTAAAAGGGTAGTATCCCAAAGTTTAATGCAAAATAAAACTCTTTAAACAATATGAATAATGCTGCAAGCTACAAAATGGATAGAAATGTAAGAAATGTGAATCTGCACCACACCTGTTATAAAAAGAGCACTGCATTAGAGGACTCTGTGGACTAGTAGCTATGTTTGCCAATTCTGTCAACCAGTTCACTCCATTCTCACAAGTATAAGCATTTTCTGAACTGCTGCTTGAGGTATGCTGGTTCCATGAAGGCCTTGAATATTCCTGATGCGAGACATCAGCACTCAGCTGGAAAAGTGCAGGTGGGGTAGAATCAGTGTGAACAGCCTGCAGTTCAGGAAGATCATCTGCAAAGAAGAGCACATGGTTTGATTGATTCCTACGGATTAGACCAGCACAACCTAAGGTCTAGAGGTCAATTAAGGTCGATCTCCCCGACTATTATGATTCAGGGGGGACGACGACAAATTTCCTATTGTCCGTGGGCATTTCCAACCTTCAAGGCCCATCACTGCACCATCACACCAAAATGGGAACATGAAATGTCCTGAGCTGGGTGGAAGGAGCCCACACCTCTAACTACACCAGTATTGTCTGTTTCTGGAAAGGCTTTTGCTGACGCAGTTTGGGATTTTGACACTGCTTATCCCGTAGGCCAGGGATTATCAAATTATGCCAGCAGTATTGGAAATGGAGGGTGATATATGTAGGTTCTGAACTGTCCCATCTGAGTTTATGTTTAAACACAGGAGTCTCCAGAGCAAGCAACTTGGTATGTTTCTGGAGGGTCCCTTCATAAAAACTACACTGAACACACAATATCAAGCAATGAAGAACTCAACCCAACATTTGTGCACCACCTCATATTTGCATGACTGGAGCAGATATTGACAGAGGTGGAGCTTCATGTGCAAGTTCCTCAAATAGGACAGATATTATATTATTTAGAATATCTGGAATTGGCAATGCCCAGAGTCTTTGAAACCAACCTTATCTTGGTATTTTCATCTAGTGAAAGGTATATTGTCACCCTTTGGGAACAGTCTTCTAAAAAATGAGGAAATCATATGGCATCAGCAAAGAAGCAGAAGACATCCACCAATTGTGGCCAACTTCCAGCACATTCATGTTGCTATTATTACAGCATTCTCTGCAATTTCAAGCTGACAATGCTCCTTCCCTCCATGGCAAACTGAAGGGAGTTTCCAAACGCATTTGTTTTTTTGGCATAGAATCAAGTCATTCAAGGGAATGCAATAATAAAAATTCAGCAAGTTTGCCTAATTCCCTTGCATAGACCCAATATGCACTCTAGATCTTGGCCAAAGTATCTGGGCTAAATGAGTCCCACTCTCAACTCTACATACAATTGAATGGTACCCAATGAATGCTATATGAATCTCATTGTGTAACACAAATGCATACTCAGTTTATTTTAAGAAAGCCAGAGTATTTACCAAGCTCCATGTGCTCATCACAAGATGCATATCCAGGAGAAGATGGGAGGTTCTCATTACACTTCAGTAATTCCAATGATTCATTCATCCTTGAAGTTCTCTTGTCCACCACTAACAGGAGTTTCTGCACTGCATTAGGCATCTGGTTAGTCTTAACTTCCCAAACCATGGTAGGATGTTTCAGATTATCTGACTTAAGCAGAATGAGAAAATTGCATGCATTAAGTTACTTAGCTACAGTTACAACTGCATGAAGATGGATTACCAAGATCTATCACCCCCAACTCTCTATAAATTTTTTTTGCCAATTAAAATGTCTCCAAAACTCATAGGTAACTCTTGCCTGACATTATTGTTATACATAGACTACACAATTCATCAAATGTAACATCTCAGCATGATTCTTTATACAACCATGCTAACAATATGTTGCATTCATCGGTTAAAATGATGGAATGGTATATTTTATAGTAAGAGCTAGTCTAACTAAATTAAATTTCTCTGAATTTGAGGCAGAAAAAGGAATATTTTGCTTCTTTCACAGGTTGAAGAATCTTCATCAGTGTGTTAAAAACATCAGTGCTGGCTCAGTGCTGATAACACCAAGGTTGCTGGTTTGATCCCCATAAGGGACAGCTGCATATTCCTGCATTGCAGGGGGTTGGACTAGATGATCCTCAGGGTCCCTTCAAACTCTATAATTCTACTACTACAACCATCCTAACCATAGGGAATTGACCTACAATGCCTTCTAGAGAACAAGGCTGGGAACATACATATGAGCAACCCAATTGGAACTCTGAACTCCCAACTTTGTGATGGGCTTCTGCAAAGAGGACAAAGTGGTGAGGATGTCAGAAACTACCCAACAGCCAGTCTTGCAACTGACATTTACCCTAAAATGCTTGACAAGTGGGACTGAGCAAACAGTTCTTTTGTCACCCTCATTGATGCCAAAGATGGAAATGATGGAAGTTATTATTTGACATTTGGAAAACCAAGTACACCTTCCACTTCTAATAAAAAGAAGAGTGCAACACATTAGAAATACATAATGTTGCTACACAAAGCATCAGCTATGGTGTTGGCCTGTGGCCACAGCTGCCATAACCACTGCTGCCTTTATGGATGCTAGCTCGATCACTGAAAAAGACCAGAGTTTCAGCTGTGGTGAGTTAGGCTGCAAAAGACGGCTGTAGTGGATGCTGCTTGGCCAACCATCCAGCATGCAGGATAGTATGTATTCAGCAAAATGATAATCCAGACACTTTTGTGCTCAGATGTTGACTTGAGGGGCAGAGATTATTACACACTAGGAGATCTTCCTGTATGTCCGAGGAAGACACCTTCCATAAACCCCAGTGCTTCATCCCTGTTGGGAGTTGACAAGACTGGACTGGCAAGGTGTATGAACCTCCTTTGGCATGTAAACTTACTACAGCAGAAGTAAAAAAGTTTACTGGCAAGCCAATGCAAGTTCCACAGTGACCCTGTCATTCTCAGTCTTATAGAGAGGTGTGAGAAACAAGTCACAGAGGCAGCAGGCAGGGTATATACACATGAGAAAAGTGAGGGCTATATTAGAGGCCAAGAAAGCAAGACTTGATGAAACCTGTTGTTTAAATTTCTTATTAACTGATGTCATTACTTTCTAATGTTGTTTTATGATTTCAAGGTAATGTATACTTAGTAGGATGTTTTATGCAGATAAAACTAAAATTTTATAGCAGTACTTAACATTCTCAGAAGGTAAAATTAAAATTATTTGGTTTTCCAATTTATATGTTTTTTAATCAAATGTAGCTTTACCAAGCTAAATATTGTCCAATAACAAACATAATGGCAGATTTGAATTCCTCACACCCCAAAAAATTATTTGTAAGGCTGCTCACTGAAGAAATTTGCAAAAATTAAGTTTCACTCCCTAAAATGACACACCCTTCTAAAGCAATAACTTGTTACTCTGAGTAATAACAAAAGCCAGCCATAAGGTCTTTGCATATGTCAGATAGCAATGGATAATTTACAAATTAAAACCAAGGCAGAAGAGCAACAATCAAACATCATGTGTAAACACTTTCCTTTATGCATCTTGAAATACAGAATCAGTCTGTAAACAGCAAGATTCAGCCATAATTTATACAAAAAAACCTCTGGAAGACAAAATTTGCAATCTTCAAGCTACTGAATAAATACACAACTTAAACTCATATCCCAACAAAGTCAGCTGGTGAGTGCTAACCACAGTGTAGCCAAAATGGGGCTTCTTCTAAGAAATAAGAGGGAACATGCGCAAGGGAATTCCAGGACTAGTTAAAAAGAAAGATAGGAATAAACCCTAACGGGGGACAGGGGGAGGGGACTTAGACACAGACCAATGAGGACGAGTGAGCATCCCAAGTGTTTTTTCAGGGAGGAGGAATCAAAAACTGAGGGAGAAGGGAAATGGAATGGGGTGTCCTAGAAGAGGACATGGCTGGTTAGAACCTGAGCAGGAACACTCCATACTGCAACATTTTGTTTCAGGTCTCACTAGCATATTGTTTTGCCTTTCAGAGAAAGAAAGCCAAGTACTGTAGCAAGCCAAAGAGCCAAATTGAGTCCCTGCAGGAATTGCATCTTGTCCCCCTCCACTTTGTGATTCAAAATTTGCCCACAGAAATTATCCACAAGGAAAAGGTTTTTTTAAGTAACAATTCCAATCATTCTTACAGAATTCCATAGTGCAGTCATTTGCTGCCTAAAATGAGGATTGTGGGGTCACTTGATGTCAACTGACTGATAAGTGGGCAACCCCACCCATCTATCAAAATGGTCCGTGGAAGGGGCTCAAGAGCCACGTACTGGCTGGATACAGAGCCAAGCTCTCCACTAGTCAGTAATCAGAGTAGACTGCTCGAAAAGCAATATACAGGTGTGCGCAGATCTACAGAGGAAACTGAACCCATCCACTAGAGAAAAACAATGCCAGCTTTCACACATAGGTATCAATTTTGAGACAAAAAATGCAAATAAGGCATAAAAATGCAAATGAGGTCCAGCGCCGAGGGCCTTCTGGCGGTTCCCTCATTGCGAGAAGCAAAGCTACAGGGAACCAGGCAGAGGGCCTTTTCGGTAGTGGCGCCCGCCCTGTGGAATACCCTCCCATCAGATGTCAAAACGATAAACAACTACCTGACATTCAGAATACATCTTAAGGCAGCCCTGTTCAGGGAAGTTTTTAATGTATGATATTTTAGTGTTTTTTGGTTTCTATGGAAGCCGCCCAGAGTGGCTGGGGAAACCCAGCCAGATGGGCGGGGTACAAATAATAAATTATTATTATTATTATTATTATTATTAATTGTTATTATTATATAAGTAGGATTTTTCTTTCTTTCCTCATGCTGTTTTCATCCTTAATAACTTGTAAGTCATTATATAAACATCCAGATGGCTTTTCCACCATTGTCCTAAGAATCTTCTAAAAAAGAATTAAATATTGATTGAATATTGTTTCTTTCAATTTAAAAAAAATGATATTCACATGCCAGTACACAATATGAAAATGGGCAAGATTACAGTGTAGAAAGATGCTGCTGACCACTCACTGTAAGAAACCCTTCCCAAAGAAGATCTGCATGGCTACTTCCCTGATGGCATTCTGCCAACAAATAGAAACTTTTAATATTTTAAAACCTTTAACTTGCAGATGAGTTCACAACCTCTGTTGTGCAGTTAGCTAGCAGATGAGATTCCCATCTGATGCAACATTACTTGACATTACTTACCATAAACTTGTATTTTACATTTCTATTCACCTTAAGATATCCACTGTATTTTTAAAGCTGTTGCATTTCATTTCAGGTAGGTTTTGGTAGTGTTCAATTCATTCAACATTATAAACAAACAACAGGTGCACTCTTAAGATTGCTTCACATGTTCCAATTGGACACTCGTGTGAATGATGCATGCTTAAAATCATAACAGGCAAGGAAATCAAGTGCATTTGAAAACAAGTATCCTGCTGTCAAAGATACGTTTACATGTATCAGTGAGCCAGCCAAGGGACAGCACTGCCTGTAACATGCACACATCTTTATTTTAAAGAAGAAACCACCACCACAAAGCTTTCTCCTGTCTCACTTTATTCACCAGCAACCATCAAAGCTGCACAAGGCAAATCACAGAAAGATTCTTCTCAGTTGGTGGATTCAGTGTTCCCTCCCCGCCCCCCAAAAAGGTCAATGGTGGGGGGAGCAGTGCAGAAACAATGGTATCTTCACAGCTAGAGACAACAGTAGCCACCAGTGACCCTCTGGTCCTCCCTACAGCCATGCTTGCCCTAGTGCAGCCCCTCTGGCTCCTATTTGGCTTGCCATCTTCATGCAGCTCAAAGTATAAGGAGGGTGAGGAACATTCTCAAGGGTCTAGAAATCAAGCCTTATGAGGAACAGTTGAAGGGGTTGGGCATGTCTAGTCCAATAATAATGACTTGGAGAGGAGATATGACAGCAGTCTTCAAATATCTAAGGGGCTGTCACATGGAGCAACCTTAATTTCTCTTGCTCCAGAGGGTAGGACCCAAAACAATGGCTTCAAGTTACAGGAAAGGAAATCCTGACTAAACAGGAGGAACTTTCTGACAGTGGAACCGTCTCCCTCGTGAGGTTTTGGACTCTCCTTCCTTGAATAGAGTTGTTATTATTATTATTATTAAATTTGAATACCACCCTCCATCCATATATCTCAGGATGCTTCACGACACAAACACGCAATGCTTTTTTAAATTAAAAAAACAGGTTCTAAAGTAGAGGATGGATGGCCCTCTGTCACGGAGAGGCTTTAGTCGAGATTCCTGCGTTTGCAGGAGGCTGGACAAGATGACCCTGGGGGGGGGGTCCCTTCCAACCCTACAGTCTGTTCTACGACTCTACGAAAAACATGCAGGGTTTTGCACAAGGGAGAAGAGAGAGAGAAGCTGGATACAGCTGTGCGGCTACTTAATTGACGCCACTTCCCGCTGTTATACAAGCCGAGAAAGTGGAAGAGGGCGGCCAGCCCTGATCCAGCTAACTCCTCCTGCTGCCTTTCTGTCACTGTCAGCCCCGCCCCTCCCCCCCCCCCGCGCGCAGCGTCTCGGGATCTGCGCAAAACAAGAACAGGAGGCGCGGGGGGGGGCGGGGAGGACTCTCGCGCGCCGCCCGTTCGCCAAGTATCTGTCACGCGCCTGGCGAGAGGGGAGGGAGGGAGGGAGGCGGTTGGGAGTCACGCGCGAGAGCACGAGCCGCGGGGCTCCGATTGGTCCCTTTAACAGAGCGCCGAAAACCGGGCGGAGCCTCGCGAGCGGCTCTCCCTCCGCCCCTCTCTGGTCACGTGGACCATTGCCTGGAAGAGGAGCGCCCCCCCCCCTCGCCCCTTGTTTATAAACTTTTTCCTCGCAGGACACGGCGCATGCGCCCAAAGGCCCCATTCATTCAGAAGTGCGTAACAACAGGACGAGGCTTGGGGTGGGGGCGGGGAAAGGGGCCCGCGCCCCACAGCTGAGGGGGGAAACGCTCTCGGGCGTCGAGAGAAGGGCCCGTTCCCCTCAGCTGGCCAAATCAGCAAGCGGGTCTCTTCACGCAGGGCGAGGCGGAGGGGGCAAAAAAGGAGAAACAGAAGTGCGGGGGGGGGCTCTCCTCGGGTCTAACGCCCCCCTCGCCTGTGGCAGTTTGCCCGTTGCCGTATTGGAGGGGGTCTCTCCCCCCCCCGGGGAGTCGCGCCCTCTTCTTCCTCCCCTCCTTTTCTCCTCAGCCGTTTTTCGGCGCCTCACAAAGTGACCGCCAACAAAAAGCTTCCCCTCTGCCCGCCACACCGCGACGGCCCTCAGGCGGGAAAGAAAAGCCTTCAAAACAACTTATTTCCTAACTGTCCGTCCCCTTCCCTCCCTGACCGCCCCTCACGCTCGCTCCAAAACTTCTCGCTACTTACCAAACCCGTCGCCATTACAGGACTCCCTTCAGCTTTCTCTTTCCCCGCCCTCTCTCTTTCTCTCTCTCTCTCGGGAAAGCCCCGCCCGCCTTTTTATGGACTTTGGGCTCCCAATGGCTCCGGCGGACGCCCATCAAATGCCTCTCTCTGCTCATTGGATCTTGCGAATGCCTGTCAGGTTTCCTCCGTGGAAAACAGACTTGTTTTGATGTCCTTCCGCGCCTTCGGTTGGACGAGAGGCCCTGCCAGTCATCCCGAACGCAGAGTCGTAAATAAGTGTTGGCCAGCCTCCCGAGCCGCAGAGGACAGTGGGATTTGTTGTTTCTCTTCGCCTTATAAGCTAGCTAAGCGCAGGGCTGATGAACTCCATTTCCCAGAAGGCTCTCGGTCGTTGGTAAACAAGACTCTTAGGGACACGTGTATCTGTTCAACCAGCATATTGTGGCCCTGTAGGGACCCTTTAAGTCAAACACAGTAGCAAGGAGGAGCGCTCCTGTTCTCCATATCGTAGATACGTCTCGAAGAAGGGGAGCGGATAGGAAAAGAGATGGTTCAATGCAGATAATACCACTCAAAAGAAGCCCAATCACGTTCGAGTTTTCCCTGACTTCCAGGCAATTGAGAGCAAGTCATTACTCTCTATATGTGCATGCTTAGGAAGTCTTATTGAATTAAATAATCATAATATTATGTATTTTATAACTATGCAAATAAACTTTTAAAAAAAAAAGATCAGAGAGAGAGATTGATCCGGAATGAGGTTTGGTATAATAACCAAACCGCTGGAAGATTGTTTTCCGATCTGTTTTGATTATTTAAGGCCAAAGTGTTTTATGCAGAATGCTCCATTTCTCTCTGTTGAGAGTAGCATTTGAAGCAGCATATGTTTTGGGGTGGTCATACTGCTTTTTTCAAAATAGGTGCATGACCCATAGTTTCACACTAAAATCTTTTAACTTTTCTAAGTTCTGGGGTCTATTTTTGTCCTGCTTGTTTTGTGCTATAGCACAGATGGCAATAATCCAGTACAGGAATATCGGGGGACACCTATTAAACCAGAGCAATGTATCCAGTATGAACCCATCTTTAATGCACCATCAGTGCATGTTGCAGAATACACATACCGAAAACCACCAGTCCAGAGGGGCCCTAAATTTCAAGAGAAGAAATCTCAGAAGGAAGTTGAAAAGGAGAGTCAGGAGAATTAAATCACTCCAGCATGCTTGAAGCTTATTTTTAAGCACATAATAGAAATTAAAATGTAAACAGCAGCTTAGGGAACTTACAAACAAGCCCAAGCATATGCCAGGATCATTGATGAACAGTAAAGCTATAAAAAGGAGAGTGTGTTTTGGCTGTGAATCCTGGAAGACCTGTTCCCTGCCTTGCAGGGCTTTTTTCAACCTGGCTTGGGAGCCTGGCTGAGAACTACCACGGGCAGGACTGGCAGCAACTGCAGCAGATACGTTCTATGCTTATGGTAATATTTTATTCTCTTACTTATTGTGCTGTTTTAAATGGGCATTTTATATTATACTTCCTTTTGTAATGTTTTCTTTTGAAATGTTTATAATACTTTTTTTTTAACTCTACTAGTTAAATGTGCATTCTGTAGTTGATATACAAATGACATGAGAAGACTTAATCTATTCATTTGTATCATTATTCCTATGATCTTTGTTTATAAAAGTTATATAAAAATAAAATATATTTTTATATTTTATTGTTTATAAAATAAAAAGTTACTATACACACACACATATAAACAGGGTGCATTAATTGTCAACAGGAACCACCAACACAGATTCAATCTTGTGGGCCTTTCCCATTTTACTTGGCTGGGAATGAGGACAATGATCAGATGCAAATGATCCACATGATTGGCCCCTGCTCACTTGGCTCCAATACACAGAGAGTTACTTCAGCAACATATTGTCACAGAAATGGTCATCCATGTCCCTGAGGCAACGTGAGAAGGTGCTCTGACTGACATACTAATTTGGGAGTTAAGTAGAACAGTCATTAGGCTCTCTTGCTAGCTGGTTGAACTGGAACAGATGTTAGTATTTGGTTTCTACAGCTAACTAGTTGCAAGGTATCTAAAATACAAGAAATATTTCAAACACAGCTGTGGTTGATGTTCCTTATCACCCTTTAAAATTTCACTGGCATTAGTAAGGCTCATTCCATATGGGCTCTCAGGAAGTTTCAGAATGGAAGACACCAATTCAAACATTCTTACTCAAATCATGCCCAGCAGAGGGAGTGCAAGTGTCTTGTTCATATATAAATTCAACAACAATGTGAATAAACGTCATACGAACCATGCTCTTTGCTTCACAAAAGATCCAGGGCTGCTGCTACGCAGATGTATGAAAGGTTTGAACTGATCTGATAATGCAATCCACAGACTCATGACAAATATTCTATATTCAAAATTATTTATTAATTTTGTACATTGTAAATCTCCACAATTTGTAGGTACCATAAAAAAGAGGCTTCAATAAAAAGACAGAATACTAACATTCAGGAAAGGGGAGTGGCACACAAACGTCTTTAAGGGAAATTAAGAATATTTCCTTGTTGTTGTTTTTAAAACTCTGCTCTATCCAAAAGGTGCAGGGCAGATCGTTATTTTCCATATTCTAAAAGTATTCCAAACACACACACACACGTATCAAAAGCAATAACTCCTAAAACCAATTAAGTTTAAAATACAGCTGTTACTTCCTCTATATGCTCCTGGATGGCTAATTTAACACAGGCCTCTAAACACCATCCCTTACAGGAAGGTGTTGTGATGCTGTTGGAATATATTCTTGTTTTAGGCTTTAGCTAGTTTCTCTAGGAAGAAGTGGCACAATTTTACAGCAGTGACATTTGTACACAGGAAGATACCTACTGTATTAAACTATTGGTCCCCCTAGTTCAGTATGAGATACAGTAGCAGCGGCTTTCTAAAGCTTCAGGCAGAGATAGCATTCTTCTACACCAAATCCTTTTTTCAAATTGGGGGTGCCAGCAACTGAACCGTCTTCATGCAACGCATGTGCTCAAGCCATTTTACTTAAATCTTCCATCATTTGGAATATTTAAACTCTTAGCCCTATGCATGTGTGCCACCATCTCACATTTCAATGAATCTCATAACTTTCCAATGAAGGCAACTCCAAGCCATGTGATCTTTAATCCCAGATTTTGAGGTGTAACAACTGTGCAGTTTTTGGCCTATGAGTGCAGGTTCTATACCAACATTACATAAAACAGGAGGCTTCCAGGTGGTATTGGGAGTGTGCTAGACACAACGAGGGTCACAGGAGCCAACTCCTAGGGGCTGAGATCCCTTCGCCCCCCTCAATAAAATATTTGAGGGGGTAACCCCCCAAAAGTTGATGCATATTGCCATTCAAATGGTGTGCATGTGCCGCGTCTTGTGGTTGATTATGCAGGATGGGGCTTAACTGCCTTCCCCAAATATTTTATTCAAGTTGGCACCCCTGGCTGGGGAAATGTACAATCCAAGCACGCTGGGTGTACACACTTCCAGGTATGTGTGCATGGGAATCTTACTTTTAAAAAGACAAACAAATGTTCTTTTTTTTACATATAGAAGTCCATTTGGGATACAAAACTACGAACATATCATGATGTGACTTTCCCTTTCCACATAAATGTAAGATGTCCCTGGTCAAAGGACAATTGTGTGGCTCCCCCCCCCACATTTCCCAAGGTGCATTTATGTATTCATTTATCACAACAACATCTTGTGATAATTTCTTCATGGCTTATCTAGAAATGTAACTCTTTTTCGTGGATGAAGACTCAACTTCTGCACTATACTGGCCGTACCAAGAAAAGAGCTGGAAGATAGGAAGCATGCACAATGGCAAACCAAGGCAGGCCTGATTCTGTCTATGCCATAACAAGGTCCACGGGCAACCCCACTGCTGAGAAGGACTGTCACAAAGCCCCACTGCCTAGGCTACTTTGGGTACCCATATTCCAAACCATAGCATGCAACATCCTTAGCGAGATAAGCTACTCTACATTCCCAGCTGAACTATTCACATTGTTGACCTCAATGTCAACAGCCGCCAGACAGATGGCCACACATCCAATCTGTGCTTGTGGAGCTCTCCCAAGAGTCGATCATCACTCCCAGCTCTGATAGCATTGGAAGGTGGGTGGGAAGAGGCACTTCCCTGGGCCCTGCCTAACAAACCATTGATACTCTCAAAGCTGACAGTGGTGATCATCTACTAACACACACAGCACAAAAAGACAGGGACTAGCTGCTGGGACCTCCCCCCCCCCCCGCAAACTACCCTCCCCCCGCAAAAATCCCAGTCTTTTGTACTCATGATAGGATAGTTCTGTACACGTAAACCTGTTTCCCCTTACAGATGGCTGTCCTATTTAATGTGTGATCATGCCTTCCTAAGGGGCAGGACCAAGTAAGATCCTGGTGGCTTAATTTTTAAATCCACACACTACCAGAAGCAAACCAGCTTTCAGTGACTGGAAGCGTGCATTTGTGCATTGCAGCCCTAATATTCATTGCAGGAGGTGGAGGAATTCTACAGAAATCTTAATGGTGCATAGTGTGGTTTGTGAAATGTTGAATCTAGTGTCCAATACTTACAGTGTTTGTGTATGTCTAGGATATTTCAAAGGTACAGAAGTGACACTGGTGTTTCTTTAGGCTTTCAGTGGAACTCACTATCGCATAGGTAATTCATAATGTGTCCCCCCCCCCAAAAAAAACCCCACTGAACTAATACATAATATTTAAGAATAATCAGTTAGAAACATAAAAGTTGTTGGTCAGGATCCAAAGAGCTACGGCAGGTGTGATTTTGTTTTACTTTGAAGAACGAACTTGCCACACTCTATGGCTTTTGAAAGTCCCTTTTTTGGTAATACAGACGACTTCTTTTCAAGAAACACGCTCCCTTTCCGCTTATGAAACTAGTAGTGTAGTTCTTTGCATCCAGGCCACAGAGTTTACTTTGTGATGTTTCTTCCTAGGATACAACACAACCACTTTTTCAAATCAAAGAACAAAGGAGCTTTATCGGGAAGATTATGTAAAAAGTTGACACTTGGTCATTTATATCACAACATATGATATAAATTATGTAACACTGATAATATTGTTGTATAATATCTGCCTTGTACATTTCTTCTTCATTTGTACCAATCACTAGCTGTTCCATATACTGTTATACTAACGTACATATGCACTGCAAGGTTAATACTCTCTCTCCAGCCCAAAATGGAAGAAATCACTGTGTGCCAGCCTTGTATTTAAGCACTAGCCTGGTAGCCATAGGTGACAATGAATTCTGTGTGGTTGAGTGCATGGAAATCTATGCTAACAAGCGAGTGGACTACTCTGTGCCCAGCAAGATGGCACAACACAGAAATGCAATGGGCTGCTGGAGGAGGGACAGAGCTCATTGCCCCTCTTTTGTTAGCCTCTAGCAGGCTAGTTAAACACTTTGTAAGCTTATTTACAAGGCTGGTTAAAACAGTATTCTATGTTGAAAGCAGAGTGATAGCCTTTTTTCCAAGGAAGACGACACTTTTTAAAAACTGGTACTCTTTCTTCATGGTTATTTTGAATCAAACTGGTTAGATTGACTGTAGCAGGCAAAAATTAGATCTAGCTACAGTATTAGACCTTTGTCCTTGCAGACCATTCCATACATTCTTTGTGGCCCTGTTCCATGAGTTCCTTGAACCACTCCATTCACTGAAAACCAGCACATCCCTGCACCAGAGACAGGTGGAGGACAGCATGACCAGATTAGATCTGGCTTTAGCTGCAGTGGCCTAAGGCACCATTTACATTATTTCAGCTAAAACCAGTTTATAGGGTAGGGACTGTCCAAGTTCGCTGAATCTGAAACAAGGGGGAATCTTTTCAAAAAAGTAAACATAATTGTGTGTTGTTGTTTTTTAAAAGGGAATAGAAAAAAACCATGTGGAATAAGGACACCCCAAATCCAGGTAATTCAGTTTAACTGAGGATCCTTCTTCTGACACTGCAATCCTTGTGACTAATCCCAGATTATACCAGGATTAAAACTGCTTTGAAGACTATTTATGCAAATTATATACACGATTATGACCATTGCCTATGCAAAGTTACTTTTTCTTAAATCAAAATTAATTTTTTTCAGTGAAGATCCAGCTCAAGTCTAAATAATCAATACCACATATATAAATCAAGTGCAACTAAAAATAGATGCATTACATAAATCTTCCACATCTTGTAAGGTATTGCAGTATCTTTCATACATACCTAAATGAAATCTGACATCTTATTATAAAATCAAGTGGACTTTAAAAACAAAAATACAAAGCTAATCTCAGACCTAGCTCATAAAACTGATCATGAATACAAAGCCATGGTTTGCTGTTTGGAAGGCTTCTGGTAACTACTTTTATAAATACCACCTTAAATAAAGCCCGTTCAAAGAGCCAACAAGCCAAATATATAGCCTTCTATACTAGATACTTGTGAACACTGGTGCACTAACGTTTTCAATATACCACATTTATCTGACATATGGACGAAACCCTGACTTTAGTTTATGTCAGTGGCAAATACCCCACCAACACCTATTTATTCTTTTTACCTCCAGATATTTAACAAAAACCGTTAACTATTTAACAAGTAGGAATGCATTTATTCCACAGATATGCTGCAATTCAATTATTAGGTGAAGCGGAGCTCTCTTAACAGCCACCACTGCTATTTGCCAACAAACATGTTTCTCCAAAAGTAGAAAGCAAAGACCCGTTCTTTGGGTGGGGCGGGCGGGGTAAAATAAAGAGACATGCTAGTATGCACAAAGAGTTTGGATTGCAATCACGGACTTATTTAAAAGAAATGTTAGTAACTTTATTATAGAAGACATGGTCTTTTTTTAAAGAGGTGTCAAATGGTTATAACCCAAAAACTGCACATAAGATTGCAAATTCCCATTGAAAAATGAAAGACTTATGGGGTTGATCTTTTCGGAGTGTTACCTAGAAGCTGAGTTACTGGTGGGCTCAATCCTTTAAGGTCAGGCCAACAGAATGATTTCTCAGCCGTGTTCACTTATACACTTGAACGACAGTGTAAAGACACGCAAATAAAAGTTGGGAAAATAAAATAAAATGCCAACAAACCCAATCCCCTGTAAAATCACAAAAAAATGCTTAGCATCTACAGAAAGATAGACACATTTATCAGTGGACTAACCACTACTGTGCTATTTCTCATGAACAGATCGTGTGGCTTCGTTCTGCACTTCATGCACTGGGATCGGAAATGTCCATGTTTGTTCCAAAGAGAGCAACTAGCTGTTCTTCATAGTTCGCAATGTTCCTTTTCATTATTTCCATACAAGGTCCCAAAAGCCTTTCAAATGCCTGTACATCCATAACTAAAAATTTGGGGGGAAAGAAAGAGAATGAAGAAGTCCCAAATCTAGACGATAATAGGAAGATTATTTAAAATGCACACATTTAAAATCACTACAACTGGAAAGAGCACAGCGAGATTAAAATAGCCATGTCTTTGCATGCACCAACTGTGCTTTTCCCACTGCAGTCTCTGTGGTCCTCAAAAAAGCCTTCAACCAAAAGCCAGGAGACCTCCTACAGCAGCATCTGAAGTAGCACATTAGGTATTGCAACTGAGAAATCCCTGTCCATCTCCAAAAGTATTTCTATTTTGTTTGTCAGTCACTTTTGAGTCATTTTTTTCATGAGTATAGCTACATCATCATTATCATCATTTTTAAAATCTGTTTTAGGTGCAGATATTTGGATCCAACTTTGTATTCCAAAACTTTCAGGATGAAGAGTAACAGAGATACAGGTGATGGTGTTTACATTGCTTTCTCTAACACAAACGTGGGCAACCTCATTTTATCTGGCTTTGCCCAACACCAGCATCATGCGGTCCTCAACAACAACAACTAAAGTTGTCCACTCCTGCTCTAATGTGTCAATCTGTCTATAATCTTGTTTTAAAGAAAAAGAAGAAATATGTATTCAATTACTCAAATCATTTTAGCTCTGAATCCGCTGTTAGAGAAATACGTCACCCCTCGAAGCTTGCAATGAGTCCAAATATTAATTTGTCAAGGAAGTAAAATATTCTTAAGGTTTCTGAGGACCACAGAGTACAGTTTCCATACATGAATACAACTTTCGAACAACATGTTGAAAGGTGTTAAAATACTTCTGTGTTCATAATATTGTAAATAAAGGGATTCTTCTAATATCACCAGGTATCATAGCAATAGGCACATGGTTAAGTTCTAATAGGTTGATTGAACTTAATGCAGCTAATGAAATTTGGCTTTATGGTATAAGAAAATACGTATTACAGAGTATGCATGCTTGCCAACAGAAACTGCAGTATTCTCTTTACTACATAAAATAAAGCAAATACAAAAATAAAATAACTTTGCATTACCTAAACACTTGACTGTACCGAGTGCGAATGCTGAGGCAGCTCGAGGTTTGTTAGTTACAAGAGCAAGTTCCCCAAAATACTGTCCTCTAGTGTACCGGGCAATCTCCACCGCTTCATTTTCATCTACCTCCTGCTTACCCTAAAAGGTATAGAAGCAAAAGGTACAGAAGTCAGACATTCATTAAACAATGGGTTACAGCCCATATAATATTCAATACATTGTGATAAATGAAATATGCCATTAAAGTTGCACAAATGTTCTTTTTACCATGTAAAGCAGCGGAAAAGTTTTTTCAGTTACATTAATACAATATGTACCTTTCTTTTCATTGTGATTTTCACTTCTCCAGATTCAACAATAAAGAAACAGTCCGCCATGTCTCCCTGGTTTTTTTTAAAAAAGAAACACCGTAAGAAAAACATGAATGTAGTTATTTAGTTATTTAGTAGTTCTATTGCTTTAAAAAAAGAAAAAAGCATACGAACAATGTAAAACCAAAAACATTTATCAGTGTGACAGTGTGAAATTATCCTTTCCTTTTCTCATAAACAACTGAGCAGCTTCCACATCCTTATAATCAAAACAAGCCTAATTAATGCTGGGTCTGTTCCCATGTGTTTTGAATGCATAATGTGTAATTCAGCTGTCATTTCCTTCAGTCAATCCTCAAATATCAATTTGGGGTAAAGGAGGAAGCAGAGGCAGAACAGCCAGGGCCTGGAAGGGTGGGGAAGCGGATACAGCAGCTTGCCAGAGTTTCATCTGCCTGCAACTAATCCGGAAGAGTCCTCTTCACAGTGTTCTCTCTGAGAATTGGTGGAAATAAACCATGCACAAACAATGAGATTCTCCCAGGTGAAACAAAAAATTAAACAGGCGCCGAATGGGGGGGAAAGCAGCGCCTTCTCTACGTGTTCCTTCGCTAACTATTCTCAAGGACTACGCCAAGAAAAAATGATAAGTTTACTTTGTCCATCCTGCTCAGAACAACAGAGAGACTATTTTTCCAAGGGCAACAGTGATCATGACACAGAGGAGCTGTTGCAGCTAGTCTGGCTAAGAAACTAGGCTCACCGTCTGATGTCCTGGTTCATTAACCAAGCACAGTTAGAACAAACCACAGTTCCTTGAGTCCACGGTTCATACTTCAAAAGGAGCGCATGTGGCACTGTGGTCTAAAACCACTGAGCCTCTTGGGCTTGCCAATCAGAAGGTCGGCGGTTCGAATCCCCACAATGGAGTGAGCTCCCATTGCTCTGTCCCAGCTCCTGCCAACCTAGCATTTTGAAAGCACGCCAGTGCGAGTAGATAAATAGGTACTGCTGTGGCGGGAAGGTAAACAGTATTTCCGTGCGCTCTGGTTTCCATCACAGTGTTCTGTTGCGCCAGAAGCGGTTTAGGCATGCTGGCCACATGACCTGGAAAGCTGTCTGTGGACAAACACCGGCTCCCTCGGCCTGAAAGCGAGATGAGCGCCGCACCCCATAGTTGCCTTTGACTGGACTTAACCGTCCAGGGGTCGGTTTCAAAAGAAAGCTAATTAGAGTTTGCCTCTGAATAATACTTCCTGGGTATCATAAGTGATTACAGTGGTACCTCAGGCTACAAACACCTCAGGTTACAAATACTTCGGGTTACAAACTCCACTAACTCGGAAGTAGTACCTCAGGTTAAGAACTTTGCCCAAGGATGAGAACAGAAATTGCCCGGCAGTGGCGGCACAGCAGCAGCGGGAGGCCCTATTAGCTAAAGTGGTACCGCAGGTTAAGAACGGGCTTAGGTTAAGAACGGACCTCCAGAACTAGTTTGTAACCAGAGGTACCACTGTACTTTTGTGCTCATGCCCTGCTTGGTGGCTTTCCATAGGCAATCTGGCAGGTCGCAGTGGAAGAAGATGGAATGCTGAACCAATAGCGCTCTTCTTATTTTCTTAGGCCCGTGGTTTAGGCAGGATCATTCCCCGTAATGCTAAATCCTGGCTTAGCATTGTATCTGAACTTGGCCAGTACGGTATAGAGATAGAATAAAGCAAAATGTTTTCCAAAAAAAATTACTCAGCTGAACAGCTTTTTGTGGCATAATTCACCCAAAGAGTGAATTATGAATGGGGCAGTGGTCACCAACCTTTGGGGGCCCATTTGGAATTTTTAGGAGAGTGCCATGGGCATCACCCCCTCTGGTTGCTTCTCTCTCCCTTCCGTGGGTCACCCTCCCCAAACAAAAAGAGAAATGCACACATGCATGGATGCATAAACAGTCTTTGCTTTTCCACAGGGTCAGGGGTGGGAAGGGGCCTTATCAAGTAGTCCAGTGGGCTAGAAAGTCCACGGAGAAGCAAAGTAGGAGGTCTATGTAAGCTGAAGTAATTACACGGCTGCTTTGTACAGGCAATTTCACCTGGAGGAAAAGAATTTAAAAGGCTATCATGTATGTTTCAAAAATAAAACAAAAGCAGCTAAACCATAGGTGGTTTATCACATGGCTTCATACAATAAGATAAAGAGACACCTTTGACTGCATAATTTATGTACTTGTTTAATTATTGGTATTCAAATTATCTTTTGAATTCATTTCCCAGAACTCTGGTGTTCATTGTAATTGCCTTTTAGATTACGCCGCTATTTCTTGTATGTCAGATAATTCAGTACTTCAACGTTTGAGGCTGTCCAATATGCTTTTATGTGTGATCTGCTTGCAGATAAAGTCATTATACTTACTGAATAGCTAGCTAAACAGAACACAAAGGCATACCTGAGCAATGATTTGTTCTCCGTCTTTGTATATTTTGGTGCCAATCACATCCACCACTTTCAACCGTTCCGAAAGCTTTAACCAAAAAAAGGAAGACGAATTTTGCTAACGTATACATGCATAACCTCCAACACTGCACAGGTAAATATGGAGATATGTGTGCTTCTCTTTTCCACTGCCTGAGGATACCTCACAAGGATCTCATGTCAGTGATGGACGTTACGTTTCGATAGCAGATTAGTTTCTGCACACAGTCACACACCTATCTCTGCCCTCCAACCAGACAAGGAAAAGATGTTATCAAAGTTCAATGACATATTCTAGCCAGGCAAGAACATTTGTGGCCTGGGAAGAGTTGAGAGGGCCAGATTGAACGGCCTGTAGAATGAACATCTGGCACCCAGGCTTGAAGTTTGCTACCCATGGCTTATAGACATGGAGAATTAGGGCAATTAGGACTGAAACCTGAAGAAAAGCAACTGTGACCAACCAAAGCATTTAAAGAGGCACACCAAATGAAAAAAATAGGGATGGAGACTCGCAATGGACAAGATACCTGGAAACAGAATCCGTACATGATAAGTAATGATCACTGGACTACAAAAACATACCACATAGTAAAACAGGTTTTCTTTATAGCAAATCTATTAAAGGCATGCACAGCGTTTGTTTTAAAAAATAATTCCCCATTATTATTCCAGATGTTGAATCAATTACACCAAAATGTATTTGCACAAAAAACCTACACCCCACCTTTTCGGAAGTGAAAGGAAAGGAAAATAACTGTGTTAGAGTAAATGAAACAATACAAATAACATAACTTACTTCTAAAGACTTAAGGAAGGGCAACGACTCAATAAAATTTTCATACATTCTTCTCTTTTTGGCATTGTTTTTTACAATAATTCTTCGAAATGTGACTCTGTCCTTTAAAAAAAGAAAAGAAAACTGTATTAAAGTTCAAAGTTAAAATGGCAGGTTAAAAACGATAATTTGTACGATTATTTAAACAGAGCAGCTAAGCAAACATTTGTGTATACTTAAGTCGATTTTGGACCACACACACACACAGATATTTTAAAAACCCATTGATAGGACAAGTCCAAAGGAATTAAACTTACCAAACCCCACACAGCACCAGGAGAGGTAGCAATGATTGTAGCTGCTCTGGGAGTATTGTACATTAAAGCCAGCTCACCAAAGCTCCCACGGTTGTCATACGTGCCAACACACCTTCCAACACCTTCACATTTCACATAGATATCGTACGTCCCTCTATAAGATATACATAAAGTGAACACAGATTGCATGTGCAATGCTGGAAAGATTAAAAGTAAAAGAAATGCTGATATTGCTTACATCAAAAATGCATTCTTCATTATCAGAATTAAGGGGCGGGGTGGGGCCCCAAAATTTAACACTTACCTCTGCAGCATTCATTCCCCCCCCCCACTGTACAATGCGGAACCACAGCAGAGATGATGAAACCCATGAGATCCACGGTGTTACCAGTAGAGCAAGGATTTGAATCCAGTCTCCTAGTTCTATCTTTCTGTTATTTACTAAAGCACGCAGGCTTAAACTGCTTCTTAATCTCAACCAAGCTCACACCAACAAAAAGTAAACTTCTAATGGGCATATAAAGCATAAATTCAACCCTACCACCCAGATACTTTTCTTATTTTTTTAGGTGGAGCATAGTCTCATTTGGCAACAGGCCACTTTATATGTTTAACTACCTGGCCTTGCTATCGGATCTACATTCAGTAGGAACCCCGAGCCCATCCCGGCTCCATTACAAGAGTGTCTGTATGATACATATATGGATACAATCTATGGACATAATCACAATTGGCATGGTTAATTTATTGGATTGTGCAGACTACATTGCTCATAGAGTACACTTTTTATTCATCTGATTTCTGCCATGCATGGCCATTTATAATACAAACAGCCAAGGCAAATCAGATGTCCTCTGTCAGTGACACAGGTTGGCTGTGGTTGGGAAGCGCATTGTGAGAGGAGCACGAGTGGGTGTGATTTGCACAAAGGAGTGTGTGTTGTGTGCAGTGCTGGATTAAACCCTATGGAGGCAGTCGAAATCTCGGGGGGGGGGTGTCCTCGTGCACTCTCTCTAGTGGGATAACACTGAATTAAGAAAGCTTGATTGCAATTTTCTTTCCAGATCAAATCAATATTATTTTGATCCGTTGTCGCGGGACCCCTAAAAGGCATGGGGTCCGTAGGCCAGTGCCTTCTCTGCCTGTTTGGTAACTCAGCACTGGTTGTGTGTGGTGGGGGGTTGTTTGCTGTATATGGGGTGCCAGTGAAGAAGATGCTGCAACTATTGCTCTGGCAGGGGCAAAGGGAAATATGGCCAAATAAAGGGAGCATAGGCAGTGCAGATATGGATAAAGGTAAAGGGACCCCTGACCATTAGGTCCAGTCATGACCGACTCAGGGGTTGCAGCGCTCATCTCGCTTTATTGGCTGAGGGAGCCGGTGTACAGCTTCCGGGTCATGTGGCCAGCATGACTAAGCTGCTTCTGGCAAACAAGAGCAGCACATGGAAACGCCGTTTGCCTTCCCGCCGGAGCGGTACCTATTTATCTACTTGCACTTTGTCGTGCTTTTGAACTGCTAGGTAGGCAGCACTGGGATCGAGCAACGGAAGCTCACCCCGTCGTGGGGATTTGAACTGCCGACCTTCTGATCAGCAAGTCCTAGTCTCTGTGGTTTAACCCACAGTGCCACCCGCGTCCCTGTGGCAGGTATGGATACTTGCATAATATTCCCCTTATTAGATAATTAGGGGCATCACATTGACACCATAAAACACTTCTGCTAGTATGCTCCCAGGTGCCTTTTCCAGGTTTTGCTTTTAGCATTGGGACCGAAGAGACCACTTAACCCCATAGATTCCTGCCCAAGGCACCGCTGACAGTACTATACGCCCCAGAGGTGTGTTTAGTTTTCAACAGAAACCAGGCTTGTAGTGTTGCAGTTCCAGCACCCCGGAATCAATTACCAGCTGAAATTAGACAGGCCCCCTGAAATCATGATGCCCAGGTGAGTGCTGAACACATTTTTAAGAAGGCTTCCCCAGTCATTTACGGAATATTAATTGTACATCTGTAGAAATGCCTTTATTGGTTTTAAGAGTTTGTAAGGAAGGTTTTGTTGCTTTTAGAAATACTTATCTCATTTTTATATTGTGACCACTTAGATGGCTTAGTGCCGTGAAGCGGTTTATAAACTGGGGAAATAAAAAGTGTAAATAAAATATTGCAGATTTTCTCCAAATAATGTTGGGACTCTCAGGCCCTCCACACAACCACACTGTACATCAAATAAAATAAAAACACTTACCGATCAATTACATAGAAGTTGTCACCATCATCACCTTGATCGATGACATGCTCCCCTCCTTCAGTCAACTTTTCAAACATGGCATCTAATACCTGAGACATCTGCTCCTGTTAATCAAGAATATGAATTCATTTATTGCATTTATTGCTCACTTTTCTTTCCAGGAGCTCAGAGCAGTTCCACGATCCCCATGTCTATCCAAGAAGCTAATTTAAAGGCTACTCTCAAATGCAATGACTTAAGACTTAAAAAAAGAAGGGGGGAAACATGACTCATTTTTGTGACCAGTTGTGGCATGCATTTGCTTCCTTAAGCCCCGGTTGTGTTTTTAGTTTATTACACTGGCACTTAGGTCTGTTTTAGACATGATGCAGATGAGGAGACAGACTCCCTCTCACTCATTCCTACCCTCTCTGAAGGAAATTTCTGCTCCTTTCCTCTTCCAGCGTCAGCTGTGATATAGCATTCTCTCTCCAACCAGATTCTGAAGCTGGCTTACCAAGGGTAAAAGTAAACCTGATCAGCACAGTGCAGACATAATAATAATGCAGATGAAGAGAGGCAAAAAGGAAACAGGGTGTGAGCACTCAGCCTGTTCCTGATCTTTTAACTATGATTAAGAAATTAAGAAGTATATTATGTTTGCTTCAAGCTTCAGGCTTGGGCTCATGTGACCTGAACAATTATTTTCCTAGACTTTCTAGATGTAAGATTGTGGTCCTGTCCACCTGAAAACGAAAAGCAAACCGACCCCCAGGCCATTTATAGTATAGATAGGGCCTCTCCAACACAATGCACTCGGAGTGTGCTTCTTCAATGATCGTATGTGACAAATTATAACTGAAAATGTAACTTCTAAAAAAACACACCTTAAAAATCTACCATGGCCAATGTCACCAGTGAGTTTAAATGTTTGCTTTCTCTTGATGGCTTGGTTTGTACTGAACTCTGATAACACAGCAGCATGAAATCAGCATTTAACCTAAACGCAACACACAGAAAGGGTATCACTAAATTTTGGTCTGTGACCTGTAACCCTTTCCTAGACTATGGTCAATATCTTCATCATCTTCCTCTTCCACACTCCCCAACAATACTCAGTTCAGGAACACTGTTATGAAGTGATGTGCTTTTTTTTTTTTTAAGTGGCATCAATTACAACAAAGGAAAACTTCATGCAGCCCACTGGTAGTTTCTGGTAGCCTCTCAAGGGGACTGAAAGGGCATTGTTTGTTCTTTCCTAGACACATCCTAGGACTGCCCCCCACACCCCCCCAAAAAAAACCCAATGCCAATGAAAATAAAGAGGAAAATGCTGGAGAAAACTTGTTCATGTGAAAGTTTTCAGCACATTTCAAAGAGGGAGCCCATTTTTCTGTTCAAATTTTAAATTTTAACCCAAAGGAAATTGCCTTTTTTATGAGTGCAACCAGCTTCAGTAGATTCAAAGACCCATTTGGCTATCCATTTTAAGAAAAAGTGGTCTGCAAAACACAAGCAGTTAAGAATAATCAGTTTGTCAATGAAAAGGGAAAAAAAGAGAGGCTTAAAAACCACTGCAAACCAGCAATGCGAAAGGGTTTAAGGTATGCTGAGCCAAGGGTAGGGTCCAAAGCCATAATATAGAAGCTGTGGGAAGATTGAGACACACAGCCAGAGTTTCATCCCCACTGCCAAAAAAGGCCGCAACTTTCAGGCAGGGAAAATTGTTACATATCAGACGACACAGCGATTCTTCCAAAGCAGCTCTTTATTTGTAAGCTGGAACAGAACTGAACTGAGGAGCTCAGTCAGCCTGCTTATATAGAGCTCCAGAACAATCATAACTGTTGCCACTTTCTAAAACTATCCAATCACTGAACGTCACTTTTGATCCTTCATTTGCATACAAACTATCCAATCACTGAACATCACTTTCGATCCTTCATTTGCATAACTATCTACAGTATCCCCCTGCTGGCCCAGGGTGAGAACTTCAGTACATAACACCTACACCACAGACAGACAGCAAAGCCCTGGGCTGCATGTGTGTCCTATCATGTCATATGTACAAGATAAGAAGATGCCGGCACAGTACACTTCCGGCAACATCCACTATGAGGGCTTTGTGCACACAAAAAGTATCCCCAAAGATGGATAATCATGATTTACTTAGACCATTTCTTTACTGCTCCATATGCTCTAACCACTATACAGTCAAACCTCGGTTGTCGAATGTAATCCGTTCCGGAAGACTGTTCGGCTTCCGAAATGTTTGATGGCCGAGGCGTGGCTTCCGATTGGATGCAAGAGCTTCCTGCACTCAAGCAGAAGCCGCGTCGGACGTTCAGGTTCCAAAAAACGTTTGAAAACTGGAGCATTTACTTCCGGGTTTTGGGCGTTTGGGAGCTGAGGTTTGACTGTACAGCAGATGGAAACAACAACAAATTTTACAAAAACCCACAAAAAGTTTACTACCCCAACCTTCTCTCTCTTTCTCTCTCTCCTTCTGTTCTTCGCAAACTTATACTGTCTATAACATTAGTGTCTCACATCAAATATAACTGATCTGTAGAAAAGATTTTATTAATGGAAAACTGAGACACTGTATGCACTTTTCCAATTCAAGAAAATATTTAATAATTAAAAAAAAAATCACAATAAAACCATTCACACGAATTACTAATAAATATACAAAGATAATTTTTCCTGTTCTTCCAACACATTTCCCCCCTCAATACCTCTCAGCCTCATGGCTCTCACCTAGATCTACTAACTGACCCAGGCTCACACCCAAGACCCAAACAAACTTGTGGATCGCCTACAAAATCTCGCAACGAAGATAATTCCTAAAACCTGCTCATATCACCCAAGTCTCTCATTCTAGGCTTGTTTTATGGGCAGGCACCAAGGTTCTGGTACTGTATGACCCATAACTAAAAGGCATTCAAGACAAAATACGTAATAAATCTGACTCTCTTAATAACCACATACTGTATTTAACTATTCAGTAGAACTGTTTAGAATTTGAAATTGAGAAAGCAAAAAGAGCAAGGTTGAGTTAGCTAGCTAATCCAGCCATCTCAACATTCTGGCATACCAGGCAGGGCATTTCGTGTGTGTGTGTGTGTGTGTGTGTGTGTGTGTGTGTTGTGTTGAAAATAGTACTTCTGGCTAACCAGCATAACATGAAGGGATGGGGAGCCTGTTGTATTTTTCATTTCTTTATATTATGTTTATTCTTGTGTGCTTACTAGCTAGCCTGGCTCCTCGCCAATGACCTGCTCTCAATGTTTTCATTGGGTTTCGACACTACTTGCCTCGTGCTAGGGGCCATCCCAATTGTAAACATTGACAGTTGGAATTAAATGGCCCCCAGGGGGAGACCCCAAGACCCCATAAAAGCAGAACTGGAAGGAGAGATGTCACTGAGTGCAGCGATGGGAAAGGTTATGCTTGGCAGATTTTCACCTTCTATGTGGCCCTTAAAAATACAGGAGCTTTCTCAAGATGTGGACCTTGCCATCTTATGCTCCCCCATTGGCTTTCTGACCCCCATTTTCTAAACTCTCTGGTCTTTCCACTCCCCTTCTGCCAACACCTCACAGGCCTTTTTGTTTCTAGTCCCTTAGTCACAACATCCCCCTCCCCAACTTTCTTCAACCTTATTTCTCAGCTTTGCATTGGGTCTTCAAGCCTACCTTTACTCCACCATCTTAGCTCCTAGTCAGGACCCTGCGCAGATCTGCAGCCTTGATTTTCTCTCTCCCGGCCTGCTCCACACACCTTCCTAATTTAAAACAGTCAATCTTCTCTGCCCATCTTTTCTGCAGAATTGTGTCTGACCAGTGGCGTAGCGTGGGGGGTGCAGGGGGGGCCGGCCGCACCAGGCGCAACATCTGGGGGGGGTGCGCTCGCCGCCTCCGGAGTCGCCGAAGAGCCTCGGGCGCAGGCTGTAGCAGAGCCCCATGTCTCACGGAACCGACGAGCTGGCAGCGGCTCTCAGCGCTCGCCGCGGTCCCCACGCGTCAGGGGCGCGCCAGGCAGCCCCTCCTCACAGCCCCGCCGCCACCGCTGCTGCTGCAGCTGCTGGGCCATGTTGCATTTTCCTCGCCTCTCTGCCCTCCTCCTCCTCCGGGCAAGCGGCGTCGTTTGGACGGCAGCGCCAGCGGCAACTCGCCTCAGATCACCTGACACGGACCCGCCGCTGCCGCCGTGGCTACCTTACCGTAAATACCCCAGCCCAGGCAGCATCAAGAAGAAGCTGGCAGTGGTGGCAGGTTAGGGGTTAGGGGGCGCAAATTATTTGCCTTGCCCCGGGTGCTGACAACCCACGCTACGCCGCTGTGTCTGACTCCATCTATTCTTCCCTCAGGTTCCTGTATTTAGGTCCGCAGCCAACATTGTGCTTTGCTTCTGCCAACACTTACTTAGCTTCCCTGCCTCTTCTCACTGAGCCTCCCTACCCCACCTCAAATCTCCTTCTCTCCCCTATGGTTTCAGTAACAGCCAAACTGACCTTTCGCTTTCTCAAACTGATGGATACGTTCTATAAACATCCTGTGTTTCATTCCCCTGCCTTGTAAATGTTCTAAGACCTCGCATCGGTTCAAGTAATAGATGCCACGGGCTTCGTCATCCCTGCTGCTGCCACAAAAATCCCTTCGCACATTTCAGTATAGATGATGCTTTGTTCCCATATTATGCAAATAGACTGCACACTGAAGCAAAATGGTTCTGACTAATCCGTAAGTCACCATTTGCTTGCTTTCTAAGAAAGAGCTAATACAAGGGAACACTGTTTACTTGTGCACTTCAGATAAAATTCGACCTCAAAGTGGAGGAAAAGTAATTACAATTCAGGGTTCTGTAATAGAATAGAAACAGAATAGAAATACTTTATTGTCACTGTACCACTTGTTTACAGTGAGATTAAACGAGCCCCCCTCCCCCCCACAATCTCTCAGTCCTTGTTACACTCTCTGTGTGCTTTCGTATGACCACCAGCCCTGAACATCAGCTGCAATGTTGCTGTCTTCCATTCAGCAGCCTCACAACCCACTTTTTTTATAAAGAATTCAGCTATACACAAGCTTACTTCAAAATGCTGTGAAATACTATATGGCATGGGCAGGGGTAATATTTAGTACACATGCAACACACACAAAGTTTGCAGCCACAATGTGTGAACAATTCCTTCTTGCTTCAAAGGTATGGTTCTGTAAAACAGAATCAATGTCTCCAAATTTTTATGTGTCATAATGGTGATTTACCTCCACGGTTGTGTTGTCAGGACAACTTCCACAAAGCGTTAGAAAAATCTAGCCTGTGCCAAATTTCCACAGCAAACGTGGATGTGATGTTGAGACAGAGCCAGTAGCTATACACAAGTTCAACGCTTGCTGAGCATATACAACTCTGGTGGTAATTTGGCATTCAGCCTGTAAGGGAAGAGGTGCAGGTACGCAGGAAAGGAATATTCGCCTTACTATACAGTTTACCCTAGACCAAAAGCAGATGATTCAGGTTTATGGAAGGATCCTGTGACCTACTGCTACTGCAATAATTTGCAACTATGGGAGACACATCTCCCTGGGAGAAACCAGTCCTTTACTTTTTCCTATACTGCTCCTAAATCTCCCCTGCACACATGGGCATCCATGGTGCGGGGGGGGGGGGGAGTACAAGGGAGCAATGTGCCTCCTGGATAACCCCCAGATTTAGCTTCCATTTTTTAAAAAGAGTAAGCTTCTAGCATTTTTAGAACCTGAGATACAAGGCAAAATGCACAGGCACTGTTTTTTTCTGTGAAAAATTAGCCTGTTCCCTGCACCAATGTTTTGCACACCCATCCACAAAAAAAGGTCCTTCAGACACCCGTCCCCGCACCTCAATCAACTCTGACAGCTGTTATAGTCAGCACAGAGGTGCTTGTCACGAAGAGCTTGGGATCCTGGAGAAGACACAGTATTTAATAGGTGTCACAGTCAACCCAATAGTGACACAAATGCTACAAAAACAGAGTGAAATTAATCCATACAGTCGTACCTTGGAAGTCAAATGGAATCCGTTCTGGAAGTCTGTTCAACTTCCAAAATGTTCAAAAACCAAATCATGGCTTCTGATTGGCTGTAGGAAGCTACTGCAGCCAATCAGAAGCTGCGGAAGCCCTGCCAGATGCTCAGATTTCAAAAGAACATTCACAAACTGGAGCAATCACTTTCAGGTTTGCAGCGTTTGAGAGCCAAAGCGTCCGAGTTCCAGGGCGTTCGGGATCCAAGGTAAAACTCTACTTGCTATATGCTAGTGCCCTTTGTGCACTGATTTTCCACATTACAGATCTGACTCCAATACTCCCTGCAATACATGAATATCAGACTACCAGAAATTGCTTTGTACTGAGTCAAGCCATTCACCCATCTGGGTCAATAGAGTCTACAATGACTGAAAGTGGCTCTTCAGAGTTTCAGACAGCGTTCCAGCACTACCTGGAGAAGCCAAGGACTGAACTTGGAACCTTTTTATTTTCAAAGCTACCTTTGAGCTATGCCCATTCCCAGCTCATAAGCATGATTATTATAGCTTTGAGGACTCCACTTTTCTGCTACAATGCACAGATCTTCATCAAAGCAGGAGCCTTCGACACACACACAGCCCCTAGCAGAAAGGCAGCAGATTGTGTCTAGATGGTTAAAAATAAATGCATACAGTCATACCTCGGGGTACAGATGCTTCGGGTTGCGCATCCCGCCAAACCCGAAAGTACTGGAACGGGTTACTTCCGGGTTTTGACCCTTGCACATGCGCAGAAGCGCTAAATCGCGCTTTGCGCATGCGCAGAAGCGCTAAATCACGCTTTGTGCATGCGCAGAAGCGCTGAATTGCAACCTGCGAGTGTGCAGACACGGCGCTGCGGGTTGCGGATGCTGGGGGTTGCAAACGTGCTTCCAGCATGGATCACGTTCGCAACCCGAGCGTCCACTGTATTAAGTTTGGAGTAGAGCAACTAGGCAAAAATGCAAAACAGATTAAGTGACATCAATGTTACTGTAAACAACTTTTATAAAATATCAAGTTCATACAAGCAAACACATTCATACTACATGGGCCTTTGGAAACAAAGAATATAACAAATCTAACAGCTTATCTTAAAAGAATGTTGGTATTATTTGTTACAGACAATACTATACCTTCTCTTGATATTGACACCAACTTTCACAATGATTTGTTGTTAAAGGAACAAAACCCCAGAATCATGCTTCATCTCAGAATTTCCCTGAAAGATGAATCTCTTAAGTGTTTCTGGGATCGTTAAAAGAAATAAAGTCACCACTTACTGGATCTAGGTTCTTAAATAGAAGTATGTCTTTGCAAGCTTCTTGCAGTCTGTTTCTTTGATCATCTGTTTTGGGGTGAATAATCTGGAAGAAATAATTGCAATTTCTATTTCACTTCTCTTAGTCTTAAGAAAAATGATTCTAAAAGAGGCCAAAGGACAATTTAGATGAACACTCCTGGAAAGCGAGATATAAATCATACTACTAAACAAATATTGTCAGCGAAAAATTGAGAATTTTAAATCAATCTCAAATTAAAAAGACACAGCACAGGAATGATGAAAGGAAATTTTAGTCTTTGATTCCTATCAAAGGGAAATTACAATAAAGATGATGGTGAAAGAAAAGGGTTTTTTAATTTATATTTCAAAAACTTATGTGATACAACTTCTATTAAGGAGTGTGTTTGCATATTTCCTGAATTTGTCTTCCAATAATACAAACATACATTTAGTCTACAAAGTCAACATACCCTTGATTCAGTTTCATCCTCCTCTTCATCAGGATTATAAGCTTCTGCACACACTACAAAAACAATGAAAATATGAACTGAGTTTCAAACCAAATGCTCTCAGAATTCTATTTTGAGACCAACATTCAATGGTGAACATTTAGAATTGTGTTATTTTGTTGTAGCTTGTTGTTTATCGTCTAGCATTTCTCGAAAGAAAAGCACCTGAAATGAACAAATCAAAACAAGTACCGGTATATTTAAAAAGAAAGAGAGATTTTATGCAAATATATGATTCCCTTTGTATATTTCTTTCATTGGGCCAAAAGAAGCCAGCTCCTTCAATCTTTCCTATGGAATATCTTCTAGATTCTTCCAATATATTTTTACCAGGCTCAAACAAACACAGGCCTCAAAGTGAGCACCTTGGTAGTATGCCAATCCCATTACCCAACACTCTTGTCTCATGGAAGCTGAGATGCAGGCAAAAGGGTTCATTAACCCTCTTTTTTCCCCAGTGCAAAGAACAAGTTTCGACTGTATTTCTTGAGACACCTCACTGCTATTTCCCTATGATTTGGCTTGCGCATGGCAACAAGAGGCGAAGAGGTATAAAATAGATGCTCCACCGAAGCGACATTTGCGTGCCTGTTTCTGCTGCTGCCATCATGTGAATGAAGCAGTATGAAGATGGATGCCACACACAAAAATGCAAAATGCAAATGCTTAGAAATACTTGGTTCTTGATTATTATATTGTGCATGTGCAATGGAAAATCCATTGCTAAGCACCAACATTTTCAGGATTGAACCATGACACACACAACAGATGCCCCCGAGAGTCCTGACTGGAATGGGTTGGCTCCACATGCACAAATCCCTTCTATCAAACTAGTGTGGCCATCCTGGGCACATCCAGGAATTTGCCTATATCTGTCTGTCATATGTTAGAAAGCACACAGCACCATATTCAAAACTTGTGATTTTATTTTAATTTCCTAGGTTTAGAAGTCTGAATACCAGCCATGTCTACGTAAGCATCTTCTCTCCTACTTCCTATTTCACATTCCGTAACACAATAGATTCCATCACAAAATGTCTGCATAGCATTTTGTCACAATACATGTTACAAGAGGCACCATCTTAAAACAGGCATTCCCTTCTGTGTATGGGTTTTTCTCAGCACACCTTAGGCACACCTTTTTAAGCAAAATATTTTAAATTGAAACAATCAGCCAACTAAACGTTGCAGTCCAAGGTTTCAAGTCACCACAGTTCATTCCTCACCAATTATTTGTTTATCAAACTGGCAGTATCGCCATTTTTGAAGCTGTACCAAGGTTTACGTTCTTCTGTGAGCCATGTTTGCACACTTCGCCAGAAGCGTAGTTGTTTGCTTACAATATCTCACATCTGGTATCTGGCTGCATATATATCGTAACATAAAAGTTCAGCCAATACTTCTTCCACACAGAAGGTATTTCTTTGTCAATCTGCATAGCGTTGCGTTAGGACTACCTTGCCTTAGAAATGCTAAATTTCTTCTTATTCAAATCCTTGAGCATATCCAGGACTATATATTTTATGTGAAGGAAGTCATAAAAGTCATTTTATATTCAACAGGAGCTCCTGATATAAATTAAACAAGGGAAATCAAATGCTCTAAAACAGTGGTTTTCAACCAGTGTGCCTTAGCACCCTGGGGTGCCTTGAATGACGGTCTGGGGTGCTGCGGGCAACACTGGCCTCTGTCCCTCTTCCCTTCCCTTCATCCTCTGATGCCCTATTGCATCTCTGACTCGTAATCTGGTGAACCGGGTTCGCATCTCCGCTCCTCCACATGCAGCTGCTGGGTGACCTTGGGCTAGTCACACTTCTTTGAAGTCTCTTAGCCCCACTCACCTCACAGAGTGTTTGTTGTGGGGGAGGAAGGGAAAGGAGACTGTTAGCCGCTTTGAGACTCCTTCGGGTAGTGATAAAGCGGGATATCAAATCCAAACTCCTCTTCTTCTTCTCATTTGAGGGCAGTCTTGTACCACCAACTACTGTTTTCTCCCATGGCTTATTTTAAGTATGCAAGAGTATATGTATGCATGCATTCCATTTTGGAAACATCATGCCTGCAGTGGCTGCAAAAATCATAATGAGATGAGGATGGGTTTGCTTGTTTATTAAAAAAAAGTTCTAGGCTACCCTTTAATAAAACTGTCAAAAGTGGCATGCAGGTAAATAATAGAAACAGTCACAGTATACATGGAACAACTGCACGGGAAAAATATTCAGCAAAAGGATAAAAGCTAATCAGCCTAGTTGCATTCCATGATGGAAGGCCTAGGAAAATGGAAATAATCTTTGCCTAACTCCAAAAAAAGACAACACAGTTGGGCACCAGGCAAGCCACTCCATAAAAGAGCTTGCCTGAAAAGGCCTTCTCTGTCTGGTCATCAGCCACCTAGCTTCAAATAATGTAAACATTTGGGGAAAGTTATAAAAAGCCAAAGCTTAAGCAGCTGTACCATTGCACATGCATCTACATACAGTGTCTATTTTGGGGAGAATGGGGCTTTTAGCAGTCATGATTTTGTGCAAGGTGAAATTCAAAAAGAACTGCATCAATCACTGCAGTACAATAGGTCCTGTACCGCAAGAACAAATGGAAATAAGATTACTTTAGAAGCTAATCAAGATGGAAATAGGTGGCTCTAAGGTTACAGAGAAGGTAATGTTATTCATACTGTAAATCATCTTCTTGGTGGAAAGGAAAAATTAAGAGTAATTTCAATGCACAATAAATAATGCATGAGATCACTTACATAATCAGAAGATGGGGAAATGAACTGAATCAATAAGAATGTCATAATTTCTACAGTATTAAATAAGGATGAGGGGAAATCATAAGTTCCTCATAACAGATCATCCTGGTGATTTTAATAGGTTTCCCACTAAATGCAGAATACCGTTCTGCAAATTTCCATGTAAGTGGTCAGTCCTTGGTTTCATTTTGATAGAGCAGATTTTTAAACATGCATAGAGCTGAATCCCAGACTGAGGCTGAAATGTTATGAACACCTGAAAGCAGGGGCACCTGGCAAGGAGGGGGCGCAACCATGCACGTGGCCTCCTGCCAATGGTGTTGCTGCACCAACTGGGAGGTGGAAGGGTGAGGGAGTGAGGAAATCAGCATAATGCATGCACAACCACAGAATCATGCCAACGTTCACCAGCAAGCACAGCAACACCACTCAAGGATGTGTGGCTGGCAACATCAACTCTGCCCTATGGGAATCCCTTGCAGATGACCACAGTGCCCGGAGAGAGTCAGGTCAGGCATCCATAACAAGTGACCAGAGGAGGAATGATTGCCAGGAGGAGTGCAGAGAAGAAACGCCATAGTACATCTGCAGCAGCACAACTGGACGCCTTCATCTGCCCCAGCTGCAACGAAACAGGTCTCTCCAGTATTGGTCTCTAGAGCCACAGAGAGCGCTGCAACCTTCCAACAGCTTGACCTCACCCCCAAAGAGACAGACAGATGCCAACATCATTTGAAACGAGTTCTTTACCACGGAACCCAACAGAACACCATTTGTCTAACCTACAAAGCACTACACTAAATGTTTGAGCATTTTATACGAAGCTTGGCCTACCAACAGAGAAAGAAAGATGTTTTCTCACTTGTGGGGCGCCTACCCTGAGGAATCCACAGTTCTGCCCAGTGTTAGAAACTGGGAGAGAAAAGCTAGGAGCCAAATGGCTTCAGGGACTTGGGTTGTGGGCACCAAAACAGAATGTCTAGTCGCCACTGGGGGGGGGGGGGTCGGCAACACTTTTTATTTATTATTTTGATAAGCAAAATAAGCAGTTCACATAAGTGACAACATTTTTAGCAATTCCATGTTTACAATAAAAATACTGGTACCATGCTTCAGTTTTCAAAACACTCAACTCCTTATTGTTAAACTCCTTAACATATTGTCTATCCTTAACATAGACTTCAAGGCGTCAAGTAGTCCTTGAGTGTCGGCCAGGCGCAAAAAAATGGCACCCAGGCTTTATGAGGTGCTCGCAAATGGAGAATTTTTAGACGCAAAATGCGCCTGGTGCCCTGCTAATTTCCCACCTATTCTGTGAGGTAACAAAATGGTCCCATGTAGTATGTAAGGGGCTGCAACTGAAGGAGGAAATTATATAATAATAATAATAATAATAATAATAATAATAATAATAATAATAATTATTATTTATTATTTATACCCCTCTCATCTGGCTGGGTTTCCCCAGCCACTCTGGGTGGCTTCCAACAAAGATTAAAAATACCATATTTGCTCTATAAGACTCACTTTTTCCCTCCTAAAAAGTAAGGGGAAATGTGTGTGCGTCTTATGGAGTGAATGCAGGCTGCGCAGCTATCCCAGAAGCCAGAACAGCAAGAGGGATTGCTGTTTTCACTGCACAGCGATCCCTCTTGCTGTTCTGGCTTCTGAGATTCAGAATATTTTTTTTTCTTGTTTTCCTCCTCCAAAAACTAGGTGCGTCTTGTGGTCTGGTGCGTCTTATAGAGCAAAAAATATGGTACATTAAAACACCAGTCATTAAAAACTTCCCTAAACAGGGCTGCCTTCTATACCATGACCATATCTGATCAAAGAACCTATGTTTACTTTTTATTTAATGAGAAGACCTAGTTTGGGACTAACAGCAACCCGCTGTGTAGGTGTGGGGGGTAACATTCCTTTCTGCGCCCTTTCCCCTTCATTTTCTCACTGCCCCTTGCAGCGTCCCAACTCACACTGTCCTAGTTCCAGATGTTATAAACAAGGCTCTAAAAGCTTAAAATAGCCATGTTTGAAAGTTAGCAGATTACTATACAGTTCCATGTGTTTCGTGTCTCTACTAGTGATCTTGTCAGCTGTCAGGTGTGAAGGAAAAGTTTGTTTGCTGAGCAGTTTGAGTCGCCAAGTGTTTTTTCCCCTGCCAGCAAACATTTAACTCCCAACGGCTCCTGGTGGGCCACAGTTCCAAGGGAGGCAGTTGGCAGTTGGGGGGGGGGGGAGTCACCATCGTGTATTGTGTGT